GAGACCAGGGCCTGGGTCACTACAGTTTCAAAATGAACAGCGCTGGGGCTAATTTATACGAAATAAAGAAAAATAATTAGATGTTTGGCTTGTTAGGGCCCAGTTATAGATGCACTCTGAAAACAGACATAAAAAACCTACATGTAGTCCAGTTAAAGGGGAATTCGGTTGATTTTAATTAAATGGTTAAGATGTAAAGTCATTCAGTGTGTTCGATGTGAAATGAGACTTACTGAGTTAGAATTGTTCACAGTGGTGGTGATACTAATAAGATGGTAAGGAATACACTGACTGATGGCTGAGACATTCTTTTATGTTGTGATTTTGGCCCGAAACATTTTTTAAAACACATTTATGGTGGAGAGGTGCATTGTGGTATTGTGCGGCAAAGTACTCCAGACAGAAAACGTATTTTTACAGATTTCACACTATTTTTCCATCATCAACATTGCCTTTAAAAAGTTTTTCCAATATGTTAACCTCAGCAAATAAATTGAAATTGCGCACTAAAACGTGCAGAAAAATGCCATATTTAAATGTGTTCTCAGTAGAGGATGTGTTAACTTACGTTCACCTAGAAAATGAACAAAACGTGACTTGCCTGGGGGTGTTCAAACTTTTGCATATGACTGTGTAGCTAGGATACAGTAGCAAATTTGACTAATTAATGCTGGTACATTACATGCGGTAAATTCAATGAGATAGAATTTATTATTGTTTGCATAAAAAATGTTATAGTCTGTATTCCACTACTGTGTAAACAGTTTCTCCAGTCACATTTATGCATTCAGTGCATTTTTAAAAATAATTCTGATTTGTCCCAAAAAAGTCAAATCAAACTAAATCAAATCATGATGAAATGTGAGATTTCAGGTTTACATTACCAAAAAGGTACTTTAGCTGAACACACACCATTTTTCTCCCTACACTGTGACAAAATAAATGTACTGCCCAGGTACATTCTTCGTTCATCAAGGTATAAACAATCTAAATGTTCCCTCAAAGGTACAACAGTGGTTTTAAGGTCCAACGGTGTACCTTAAATAAGTTTTTCCAGGTGAAAAGTTTGTATTTGTACTTTTTCATAACCTAATGTTTTAAAACAGAACAATAAAATAAAAAGCCTGGAGACGAGACGGGGTGTGTGGAGTCAGTACAGCTTAGAAAATGTAATTTCATTAGATTATGGGTCAATTATGTTTCCTGACTGAAGGTGCTGAGATGTACCCTTGAGGGTACCACCCCAGTGAAAAAGAGGATCCTGCCCCAGAGAAAGTTTCATACCTTTATTTCTAAAAGTGTAATTTAGCTGTTACCTGCTAGCTAGATCTCCTCCATAACACAGTGCTACCAAGCTGGGACAGTGAAGGCTAACATAAACTTCCTCCGAGACACGTGACACTAACGCAACGACGCTGGACAACTCAACACACTTCGAGAACACTAACTGCTAATTCTATTACGTTAGCTAAAAGAGGCCTGCGGTGGGACGTGATCGAGGGCCATCCTACCTACCCAGAGAGAGTGAACACTGCTAAAAAAAAAGGACCATTATAAACCATTAGGATTAAAACCTGATAGTTTTGCTTTCTCATGGTAATTGGCTAGATGGTTTCCAGTAGAGACCACTAATTTCCTGTAGAACATCTTTAGATCCCTTTAGGAAACAATCAAATGCATTTAGAATCAGCCACTGGCCACCTGTTAAACCATTAGGATCCTTTACATTGCGATATCAGCTCATCAAAAAAAGTCGAAAACACATTACAAAATCATCAAGAACCAACAGAAACACTTAATGGTTTCAATGTTTTTTTTCAGCAGGGAAGACAATACTATGATACGCTATTTAAATGTAATTACAGAAATGCACAATGAAATACACACTTAGTTGCTGTATTGAATGTATGCACTAAATCGGTTCCTAAAGTATCAGAAGTGGGTCCGAGAGAGAGAGAGAGAGAGAGAGAGAGAGACAGAAAAAGAGTGCTAGCTGCTTGAGGCTAACTGTGTGTGGCTAAGAGGAGAGTTTCCAGGCCGAGTCAGTTCAGCAGCCGTGTGCCTCATGAGCCTGACAGCTCGCACACAGCAGCCCCCACACTGCCGCTAATGACTCCAATCCTTCAGCCTGGCTGCGAGAGCCCATGTGTGTTTGTACGTGTTGACATACCAACACTAGCTACCTCACAGTCTGAATAAGCTGGAACAACATGTTTTCTGAGTCTACTTAAAAAGACAGTTTAGCAAAAAGTTCACAGAAGTTCCCCCCGACCCCAAACGGTAATCAGCCAAGACTAAGCTGACCAGATTTCTGAAATGAAAAGCAGAGACATTTCCAGTTCGGCGGTCAATATATCATTAAAATATTCAATGTTTTTGTCTATGAAATTGAAAGGGGGGGCGGTTCCAGTTTCATGTATTCTGACCATGGTGACTGTTGTATTGTAATAAACTATAGTGAAGGCCGACTGATAAAACTGGGTACTAACTAACTTTGTAAACCATGTCAGAAAACCATACAGTAGCCTACCACAGTGAGTGAAGCTAACAGCCCAATAGCCAGACCCTAAACACCGCCCTGGGGCAGCTCCAGTTCCAGAGAGACAGAGATGGCTGCTATCAACATAAGCCATAAATCATACAAGGATGGCTGAAAAAGTGACGCAGTTTAAATGATGCACTGTATGTAGATCGCATGGTAGCTGACTTTCAAGTTGATTGTATGCCTGTACAAATCACCTGGTAGTATGAGTCAAGTCCCATGACCCCACCCCTGCTTTTAATCCCTGGGTTACCTCGTGTTTTGAAAAGATGTTTGTGGTGATGATGTGGACTCAATTGACACTTCCTAGCTTCTGGTCGAGTTTGACACAGCAGTATTTGCTAAAACTAGGCAAGCAAGTGATAGAGGTGGTCAGTAGATAGCAGCAGCCAGGCCCCTCTGTTGGCCAAAACAAGCACAACAGAACATGTCTGACCATCTGCTCTGTTACCAGCTCTTTTTTTAGGACTTTTATCGCAGTTAAAAACGGGAACGTTTCCAGGGACAGATCCAGCCGGGGACTGAGAACCGAAAACGGGGACTGTCCCCAGAAAATGGGGACGTCTGGTCACCGTAGCCAAGACATGTTTAGTGTCTGAAGTTTCCTTCTTTCATTTTGCACTGGGGCTACAATGCTAATGTCATGAATTTTTCTGGCTAATTTCGAGATGTTTTACAAGCAAGTTGGACGATGGCCAGTTACTTATCTGATTTTTGTTAGCTTTATGGCTCACACTGTGCCAAACAAATAAACATTTGAACATTTGTAGCACTTTCTGTTAGCCAAAGTTACAACATACATAACATCATTTGCTCTTTACTGGGCCAAATTGACATTTTTAATTCCTACATTTTAATATTCAGCTGCCTAATTAAATTACATGAATGAAAAAAGTGCTACATCGAAGGTAAGAGGAGACTGGCTCTTTAGCACAATGAATTATGTGCGATTATGCTACGACACTTATGTACGTTAGTACATGAGTAGCAGCAGCATTCAAATATAGCGTGAGCGTATCACATTGTTTAGGTTATATATAAGAGTATATTGGCTGATTGACACGTTTAGAGTCACATGTTTGGAGCATGCTGTGCATCCCTACTAACAAGTACTGATAGTGTATTATCCAACCAATTAGCGTGCTGCTAACAGCATGTATATCACTACTGCCTCAAAACACAGTGAGTTGTTCGGTAATCTCTAATAGACCTGCTTTTGCTTATGTGGTTTCTAACACTGTATGACACACTGTTATCTATAAACATGGACAACAGCACATCACATACCTAAAAACAGAATAGCAGCTTGAAATTTGTCTGCGCTTTTGTCCCTGTTTATAGATAACTGTGCGTCATACAGTGTTAGAAACCACATAAGCAAATCTATCAGATATTATGTAATAACTCGAATTAGAATCATGGCTGCGGATCAAAACTAATGAAGCACTTCAGACACCAAACATACTGGATGGCTGACTACATTTAAAGGGGAATTCTGTTGATTTTTCAAAATTTCTGCATAATTTAATGGTTGAAATGTAAACAAAGTCATTCAGAGTGACTTGATGTGAAATGTTTCATTGTAGATAAACGCCAAAAATGACCAGCGAACCTTCTTCTCAGTTTTGATATATAATGCTAATAATGATGAAATAGTAGCAGAACCAAAACACAAAAATGGGTTTTTCCTTCTAATGCCCTGCGGCATAAATGGATTAAAAAAAAACGTTTTAGACAAAAACCTCCCGCAAGACTGTCATAAAACAATGTCTCAGGGATCAGACAGCGTATTCGTAACTATTTAGTTAAGTGACCCTTATTAATCCCACAATGGGGAAATTTCACCTCTGCATTTAACACATCTGTGCAGTGAAACACCACATACACACTAGTGAACAGACACACTAGGGGGCAGTGAGCACATTTGCCCAGAGCGGTAGGCAGCCCTATCCATAGCACCCGGGGAGCAGTTGGGGGTTAGGTGCTTTGCTCAATGGCACTTCAGTCACATACTGTTGGCTCAGGGCATCGAACTGATGACCTTCCCGTCACAAGGCTTTTTCCCTAACCTCCAGCCCACGACTGCCCCATTAATGTAATAACTTTCTGTAAAGGAACAGTGAGGGGTATTAAGCTCTTCAGACATCTGGTTCCCATCACCACTGTGAACAATTCTAGCCGCAAGTTTGTTTATTTTATTATGCAATAATGTTGAAAAAAAATGTTGAATTCCCATTAGCAGAGAAATTCTGTAAATGTGGTTGTTTTTTTCAGAACTGTCACATCAATCTTCACTATATCACCCACATGTTCAAGGTTCTGCGAGGGCCGACACGCAACACGTCGTCACTTTCAGGCGCCATCTTGAAAAAGCTTAAGTTTTCAAGCTCAAGTTTCATTAAGTCAACAAGCGGCTTGGACTTATAGGATTTATAATAAACAGACAACACTAGACTGATTTCCTTATCAGACATGTAATATTTACATGAGGAAATCTTTACAGGGAGTTGATCTGATCTGAGCAATCGGAAAATGATGAAAAATTACAAACAGTTATGTCCACCTTTCTTCCAAGAGTCATGTCCTTCTTGTTCAGTCTGCAGAAATGTGCTTGTCTAGACAAAAAACTAAAGCAATTCAACCAGTCTCTTTATACAAAAGTGCAAATTGGTACAAAACGTCTCTCTATTTTTTCTTTTTTGGAATCCTTCAGTTATTAGAGAGTACCAGTACGTCCTCCTCTGCTAGCTTCTAATTCAAGTAAAGTGCTTCTACAGCAGCAACCAGATGGGTAAGGCTTTCAAGTGTCTTGTTTCCTCCTTTTTTCTGCAGTCTGTCCTTTAGAAGGCAAAAAATGTAAAAATAGCCGTAGCTAAATGAGTCCCAGACAGGAAAAAAAAACAAAACGTCAGACAAACTCCAGCTTGCCTCTGCCGCTGTACCTCCCCCAGTGGACGAGCGACAGAAGTCTCTGACTGCTCAGGTCAGACTGTCTGATCTTGTCGCAGGTCAGGCAGCAGTTCTCGTGGCCTCCCAGCGGCACCATGCACTCCAGGTCCAGCTTGGCGGTGCCACGGCCTTTGGCCAGCTGCTGCCCGTGCAGGCTGTAGTGCAGGCGGGACAGCATCTCGCTGCGCTGCTGTCTTAGCCGTCTGCTCTCACTCCGCAGCATCCGCACGGCCAGCATGACCAGGAGGACCAGAATGAGACCGCCCGCGATAGGCACGGCGATGACGGCCGCACGGAACCACACCTCCTTAGCTGAGGGAATCTCCTGGACCCGAGCCACCAGGTGACGGCCACTTTCGGCCTGTGGACGACCCCTGCGGTCTGTGGAGAAGTGAGAGCAGAAGGTGAAGGGGTGTTTACAGTTTTCTTAGCATGCACTGAAGCGATTTTAGGCCAGTTTTAATCCATCAGCCAAGGCATGTCTGATGTTCAAAGTTTGCTTGTTTAATTTTGAGGCTAATGTAGCTAACAAGTAACTAAGGTTTATAACCCAGCAGATCCATTTTTATACATAAACAGTTTGTTATGCATGGTCAGAAACCACATAAACAAGTCTACTTGAGATTACATAAGTCTGAGACAATGGTGTGATGATTTAGACATAGCACAACGATAATCCATTACTTGTTAGCTACATTAGCCTCAGAGATCCAGTGCAAAAATAAAGAAGCTTGTTTTGGCTGATTCACTATATTCGGGAGGAAATTGTGTAAATTTGCTTTTTGGCTGAACTCTTTAAACCTCTTCAAAGGGGAACTCCACCAATTTTTCAAAGTTTTTGCAAAATTAAATGGTTAACGTCAATAAAATCATTCAGAGTGGTTTGGTGTGAAATGCTTCTTTCCAGAGCAATTCAGAGTTAGAATTGTTTACAGTGGTGGTGACATCCAAAGAGTTTAATGTCTCTAAAAGCTCCCTAATAAAACATTATAATATGAAACGATTATGAATATGCTGCCTGATGTCTGAGACACTGTTTTATGGTAGTTGTGTAATACGGTTTTGATCTAAAATGTATTTTAATCAGTTTATTTTAATCGATTCATGGTAGAGAGATACATGAAGTGTGTTCTAGGGCAAAACAGCCCCCAAAGAACACCATTATTTTACCATCATCAGCATTACATATATAATGTGTTGATTCACTGGTGGTTTTGAATAACATGGCTATATTCGTGTTGTAGACATTGTGACCCCTGGATCCTCAGTCAATAAGTTTCTCTACAAATTATTTCACATCAAACCACTCTGAATTACTCTGTTTATATCTTAACCATTCAGTTATACAAATATTTTGAAAAATTGGTGGAATTCCCCTTTAAGCCCTTGAACATGAGGGTTATTATTCAGTTATTTATCTTCAAAGTTACTATCCAGTAAGTATCATGAAACTAATATGTAATATGTCAGATATGCAATTCCGAGAGTGAGTAATGGAAATGGTTACAGGCACAGTTATGTCATATTAAAAATTAGTATTCAATTATAACTTACACAGTGTAGATGGAAATGTCAGATACCAAAACATACACTGAAGGTTTATGCACAGTTTAAAGTATTTTGGAACAGGAATTTATGACATGGAAAAAAATGTTATTAAATAATAAACTTGACTATGTGGTCACCATTTTCTGAATATGAGGCATTCTGGATAATAATTTTTAAGTTATACAACTTTCTCAATTATTATGGAATCTTTTACAGCTCCGTTCATCAAAAATCTCATTATTTTTACAGCTTCCCTCAAACGAAAACCTACAGATTGTTAGCATTGTAGAACATCCATTGTATATATGTATCTGTAACAATATTGCTTTTATGTGACTGAAAACGTAGTATTAAAAGTAGTATTAAAAGGAAATTCTGGCTGTGCCTGAAAATAGTTTCAGTACTTTCACAACGCAGGAAAAAGGTTCTCACACTTATATTTCATGTTGTTGTAGATGTTGCTTCTTAAAATCCAAAACTTCTTGAAAAAGAATAATTAGATGTCCTTAACATTCTTAAGAGGACTTAAACATTCAAACACATTAGGAAAAAAGCTTTCAGACAAAAAAGTTCATAGGTGATAACATAGCAAGTTTTGCTATACATTCTCTTAAAGGAGAACTCCATAGATTTCAGCATAATTACATCAGTTATATATATATATATATATATTGCTGCTGTCGGAACAAAACCTTGTATCTCCAAAATTACAACTTTACAGGAGAAGGAAAAAATATTCTTCACTTTTAATGTAAGTCAATGGAACCAGACATCTTTTCAAGTAATTTTTGGCCATTCATTTCGGTCCATTCATCATAAAAATTATGCACAATGTAAAGGGCAACAGGCATTTTCATATTATGCCAAAAACTGAAAAACTGGAGATACAAGGTTTTGTTCCAACAGCAGCGATATATATATATATATATACACATTTTTAAAAGCCATTCATGGTGGAGGGGTACATGCAGGGTGTTATAAGGCAAAATAGTTCCCAAAAAAAACCTACAGTTTCAGATTTATCATTGCTTTACCATCATCATTACATACAAAAACTCAGAAGAAGCTTCACTGGTGATTTTGTATAGTCAATAAAATGGACATCAGGACTCCTGGCTCCTATCACCACCACTGTAATCTGTTTTCTGTAAGTTTCTCTACAATCAAACCACTCAGAATGACTTTGTTTACATCCCAACGATAGAATTATGCAAAATGGGTGGAATTCCCCTTTAAAGTCTATTTTTCTCTCAGAAACACAGTTTTGCCTGACAGAACCCTATAATTCTAAGGCCTTATACTCCAGGCCTACGTAATTCTTTTAAATTACACCGGAGACACACTTAGCGTTTAGGAACCTGCTCGTACCCAGGCTTTCTCCTCTGCTGTAGGTGAGCTCCTGCAGGCCTCGGTAATTGCACATGTCTTCATGACAGCACTCCAGGGTGGCAGGGCCGTCGTAGGTCGACTCGGTACGGCACACACTCCCCGAGTTCAGCAGAGGGTCGTAACAGCCGTGAGAGAGGGGGGATTTGGAGCTTTGGGGGTCTAGGATGCGTGTGAAGCAGGCGTTCAGCTCTGACTTACACATGTAACCAGTAGCCACACAGTGGGGGGCATCACAGTAACACCTAATTTCTCCTGCGAAGGAAAAAAGAGAGTAAAATTGAAATACTGCGGTAAAGCTCCCTTCCTTAGTAATGAATACACAGCAATTAAAAAAATACCAAAACTTTTTATTACACAAATCATGGAAGTATGCAGTTTACATACAGCGGCCACAGTGGTGCCACTAAAGGAATATATGTAGGCTTTTCATTTGCATTAGCATTCTTTATGCACTTATATTGCCTTATGTATATATAATTTAGCCAGATATGACACTAAACCATGTAACTTTATCCTAATGTTAGAGTACCACTCTTAAAAAAATGGTTCTTTAAGGGTTCTTTAGTAAATGGAATGGTTCTATTTAGAACCATTTAACGCTTAAATGGTTCTTTGCATGGTAAAATGGTTCTTCAGATTGTTGGAGAACGGTGTATATGGTTCTAAATAGTAGAAAATCGATAGCAATAGCACAAAAAAGGGTTCTTCTATTGTTACAAGCTTGACACTGCATAAAGGGAACCCTTTTTGGTGCTATATAGAACCATGCAACACATTTTCCATCATTCTGAAAAACCATTTCACCAGGCAAGGAACCATTTAAGCATGAAATGGTTCTTTATAGAACTCATTTCATGCTTAAATGATTCTTTGCATGGTAAAATGGGTCTTCAGATTGTTGGAGAATGTTATGTATGATTCTAAATAGCTCCTTTTTTTAAATGGTTCTATGTAGCACCAGTGCTATTTAGAATACACCAGGTGCTATTTAGAATATAGAACTCATACTTCTATATAGAACCACTGTCTTTACTAAAGAGTCATCTATTGTAAGAGTGTATATAGCACCAAAAAGGGTTCTTCTACTGTAACAAGCTTGACATTGTATATAGAACTCATGGTTCTAAATAATAATAAAACCACTGCCTTTACTAAAGAACCCTCGAAGAACCATTTTGTTTAAGTGTGTACTTCTCGCTATAGAACCTTTAGCAAAAAGGGTTATATTTAGTACCAAAAAAGGGTTCTTTGGATTGTAACAATAGTGGAATTGGTGCTATATAGAAGCTTTTTCAAAAAGGTTCTATATAGAACCATCTACATCACGTTCTCCATCAATCTGAAGAACCTTTTCATGACGGAAAGAACCCTGTAATCAGGCAAAAGGTTCTTTGAGTGTTCATGGTTCTATATAGAACCATTTTCAATACTGGTTCTATATAGTACCAAAAAAGGGCTCTTTGGATTGTAACAATAGTGGAACCCTTTTCGGTGCTATATAGTACCAAAAAAGGGCTCTCTGGATTATAACAACAGTGAAACCCTTTTTGGTGCGATATAGAACTTTTTTCATTACTGGTTCTACATAGCACCAAAAAGTGTTCTTTGGATTGTAACAATATTGGAACCCTTTTTGGTGCTATATAGAACCTTTTTCAAAAAGGTTCTATATGGAACCATCTACAGCACTTTCTCCATCAACCTGAAGAACCCTTTCATGATGCAAAGAACACTTTAATCAGGCAAAAGGTTCTTTGGGTGTTCATGGTTCCATATAGAACCATTTTCATTTCTGAAGAACCATCTTTTTTAAGTGTGTATATTAGATATTAATGTATGTAGATGAATCTTCTGTCTGCTGAATATATATTAATGATCAATTAAGTTCTAATTCGTGATTATTTTACAGAAATAACGTACTTTCCGACCCAAACAGCCGCTTCTGTCCACATGCAGTTCAACAGAACATGAAATCTCAAAGCTGTGGTAGGTAAAGTTGTATATTATGGTTGTTCCTCTAGTAAGAAATTTGATTTTCCTTCCTTTATTGTTAAGCCTGTTATTTAGTCAGTGCTCCATGCAGCTCCACAAACCTCAGAAACAGCTCCCTCACCTCTCGTTAAGAGCACAGCCATCGCACAAAGCTCCAGCTGCAGCCAAATACTAACGAGGCTGGGATGCCGCTCCATTTGTTCCCCTGTTTTTCGGCTTTCTGACTTCCACTCTTCTTTCAGCTCGTCCTGAACAGAGACCGCTTATCCGAACCCGAGAGACTTTTATTCGGCACATCCGTCAACATCTTCAGGTCACATCGTGAGGAGTTCTGAGGCGGCTACGCTGAGAACCTCTGCCCAAACTTAGCACAAAAGACGCATTTGGTTCTAAAACACGGACATAACTGATACATCCAGTCGAATTAACTCCTTTTTTGGTGATATTCTCGAGGACGAGGACAAAATAAAAGAAACAGCGCTCCGCACGCTGCGCCTGCTCGGTCTCTTCTGAAGGCTCCTAGTATTGAACAGCTACGGCACAGAACGCTGAATCACAGCCCAGATACGCCCCTCCCACGAACACGCTGATTGGCTCTTTTCATCTCTATTTGCATACGACCACGGGGAAAGGCGCCGCCCCCAGCCCATTGATAAAACAGCAGACTATCAAAGTAAAGTGCAATATGGTGCAGATGGAGGACGAACCAGCGTTATGAATAGTAAATAAACACATGTATAATGGTGGAGACAAATATACGCGAGGCTTTAAAGAAGAAATAAATGAGGAGGAATAAATAAATACACACACACCGATCAGGCATAACATTCTGACCACCTCCTTGTTTCTACATTCATTGTCCATTTTATCAGCTCCACTTACTATATAGGTGCACTTTGTAGTTCTACAATTACAGACTGTAGTGCATCTGTTTCTCTGCATACTTTGTTAGCCCCCTTTTACCCTGTTCTTCAGTGGTCAGGACCCCCATGGACCCTCACAGAGCAGGTACTATTTGGGTGGTGGATCAGTACCTCAGCACAGCAGTGACACTGACGTGGTGGTGGTGGTGGTGTTAGTGTGTGTGTTGCGCTGGTCTCAGTGGATCAGACACAGCAGTGCTGCTGGAGTTTTTAAACACTGTGTCCACTCACTGTCCACTCTATTGGACACTCCTACCTTGTCAGTCCACCTTGTAGATGTAAAGTCAGAGACGACAGCTCATCTGTTGCTGCACAGTTTGTGTTGGTCATCCTCTAGTCCTTCATCAGTGGTCACAGGACGCTGCCCACAGGACGCTGTTGGCTGGATATTTTTGGTTGGTGGACTATTCTCAGTCCAGCAGTGACAGTGAGGTGTTTAAAAACTCCAGCGGCACTGCTGTCTGATCCACTCAGACCAGCGCCACACACAAAAACACACCACCACCACGTCAACGTTACTGCAGTGCTGAGAATGATCCACCACCCAAATAGTACCTGCTCTGTGAGGGTCTATGGGGGTCCTGATCACTAAATGGACAATGAGCGTAGGAACAAGGAGGTGGTCATAATGATATGCCTGATCGGTGTATGTATGTGTGTGTGTGTGTATATATATATATATATATATATACACACACACACACACACACATATACATACACACACACACACACACACACACACACACACACACACACACACATACATACATACACAGTAAGTAATGCTAGAGGATGAGTAAACGTGTTTTCACTTAGCCGATGGGGGCTGTTCAAACTTTTATACAACTAAATGTAGGTTGTATATTAATGTATATTTGTTTACGAAGAACACAAAAAACATGGTTCTTCAAGAGTTCTTTAGTAAAGAAAATGGTTCTATAAAGAACCATGAACACAAAGAACCCTATGCATGATTAAAGGGTTCTTCAGAATGTGTTGTTTTATACATCACCAAAAAGGTTTTTCTATTGTTACAATGTAAAGCACATAACAATAGAAGAAGCCTTTAGGTACTATATAGAACCCTTTTTAAAGAGGTTCTATACAGAACCATCTACAGCACATTCTCCATCAATCTGAAGAACCCTTTCATAAGGCAAAAAAACCCTTAATCATGCAAAGGGTTCTTTGAGTGTTCATGGTTCATCATTGAACCATTTTCTTTACTAAAGAACCCTTGAAGAACCATCTTTTTTAAGAATGAAGGATATCTTACATCAGCTATCTATATAACTTAAGCCCAAAATCAAGTCTGTGCTATAATAAAAGAGGTAAGGGACATTTTAACTGGTCAGTTCTTTAATTTGCCATAAAGGGGAAGTCCACCAACTCTTCAAAACCTCTGCAGAATCAAATTGTTAAGATGTAAACAAATCTGAGGTGACATGTTCTATTCTTCAGAAACTTTTAAACTATTCACAGTGTTGGTGATAAGAACCAAACATCTAAAGTGTTTGATGCCTCTAAAAGCTTTTTACAGTACAGAAACTTATTAATACAAATAAATTCGGTGGGGGCTCCCTGGTCTAACACATTCCGTGCAAGACCTTTTTCCCCAGCTATATTCATGATTCTGGTTGTTTGTGTGCCATGGATGTTTGCTCATGCGTTAGCTTCTACATTGGAAAATGCCATTTACTTATGCAAAGATGTCAAAGAAGCTAAACACTGCCATCGCAAGTGTTGGATTATTCTCAAGATATCTGCCCTCATTAGTTCATTTCATCTTTAAAAGGTAATTCCGCCAATTTTTCAAAATGTATGAATATTTCAGTCCTTGAGATATAATTCAGTAATTCAGAGTGGTTACAGACTCAGATGTCATTACAGTGGTGGTGATAGGAACCAGGGGTCACAATGTCTACAACACAAATACAGCCATTTTATTTACTATCCAAAACCACCAGTGAACCTACATGTGTCTTCTTAGTTTTTATATGTAACGTTGATGGTAAAATAGTGATTAATGTGAAAAAAAAAGTCACCTTATTTTGCCTTTCAACATCTTGCACGTATCCCTCTGCTGTGAACAGACTAAAATAAACGGATTAAAATATATTTTAAGCCAAAACCGTATCACAAAACTGTGTCAGACATCAGGCAGCTTACATCTAACCACGTCCTGTAATAACTTTCGGTGAGAAAGTTTTCAGAGGCATTAAATTCCCCAGATGTCTGGTTCCCATCACCACCACTGTGAGCGATTCTGACTTGGCTAGTTTCTCTAGAACGAAGCATTTCACACCAAACCACTCTGAATGACTATTTACATCTCAACCATTTCACTGTGTAGAATTTTTCAGTGGAGTTCCCCTTTAATAGGAATAAAAATGCTTTAACTTGTGTAAAACTACATAAATCATTACATGTTAATTTAACCAGTGTCAATTATCCTAATGAAAACATTTATCTGCTGATCTCATTTATACACACACTTATGAAGTCAAAATATCAAAACTAACAATGTCTGGTGAATTACCAATTCAAAAAATCAGTGCTGGGAATTATGCAGTGAAACATCACTTAGTAGATATTTTTTAATTCATATATCCTTTAAGAAATATACAAAGCTAGACACTGTTCCAAGTCCTTTCTGCTCAGACGGCACTCCAGCTAGAGTACTGTTTGGCAGGCTTTCTGATGCCAAACCCCTCAGTGGAGGCACAGCGAGGTTTAACATAACCTCACCAAGCACTTACAACCTCTAAGTTGTATGCAGAACAATAAGACAGATGAACAAAAACAGTTAATAATCAAGGCAGTTAGTGCAAATGGTGAAAGAATCTTGAAACGTTTAGCAACCAGCTGAGTGGTGGTGGTGGCGGCTCTCAGGGTATTTTCGCCCTGTACTCAAAGGGTGGTGTTTGTATACAGATGTTTGGTACTCTAGAACCAGTCATTACGTAAGCAACCACATGAAAGGAATGAAAATGTCTGCGTTCAGATGGCCAACTGAACAAGTAACTAAGAAAAAAAAAATGGTGAGAAAATGAGGCAATTCAATTAGACTGCTCACATCATGACGAGTAACAGAGAGTGGTCATAGGAAAGTCTTTTAGCAGGGTCAGAAAGCAGACAGCCAGGATCCTTTCTGATCCAATAAACAGCTTTGTTTATTTAGGAGAGAGACAGCCAGTCTACTTCTCCACTATGAACGCACACTCAGGATTCCTTTGCGAAACAGTCAGATTGTTGGAAAATCCTAAATGATTCTAGCTTGTGAGTGAAGCCAAAGTGACAGAACCTTCTAGTGAATCAACACGTTGCTCAGGCCTCTCGGGCCAAACCCTGACTGACAGTTCATTTGCCCTTTTCCTTCAGTCATTTCATTTAGCTTAAATGGATACTGGGTCCAAACATACAAACCTTTCTGTTAGACTCTTCTCTTTAGCCAGAAACTCTACCGTGTGCCCTATTAATCTGTCAGTGTTGATGGTGTTTATGAGAAATGAATGGTAACTGCTTTCATGATAGAGAAGTGTATGTACATCAAGGATATTCGAATGAAACTACGATCTCAGGGCTTTAGGTAGCAGAGACAGCATGACCCTTGTTAAGCTTTTTTTTTTTTTGGTTCCCCTGCCTGGGAGAAATCCCAGTCCTGTTAAAGGGCGGGGGGACAGTCCAGCCTATAGGGCCACAGCATCTCACGAGTATTCAGACCAAGAGCAGAGAAAAGGCAGCCAGCTGCTGGGTTCCTTCTGACGGGAAAGCACTGACGTCCCAGCTTCTCAGACCATGAAGGAATTCTGATTCTTTAGTTTCTCTAGTTCCTTGATCTGTTGTCTCAGGAAGAGTACCCTGCAGGGAGAAAGTTTTCATTTAGAATATTGCCTTTGCAGTGAATCAAGTAAGTAAGCAAATAAGGAAATTTTTGAATATCAAATTAAATGCCTGATACCTTTCTAAGATCTCAACAAAGACAAGAAAATACAATTTCCGCCCCTCAAAAATCACAACTGTCTAAAGCTAACAAATTAAATTACAGATCTTAAATATTTTCCATCTACTTCAGGACTTCTTCAGAAACTGCAGCAACATTGCATTATGGTTGTTACCATCGATGAAATTGGTTACTGACTTAAGATTATTTTTACAATTAATTGAGTAATCAGAGAAAAAAAAACACTAAAAAAATTGATTTAACAAAAATCATATATAGCCATTCAAAGATTGTAAAGTATTTCACTGTAAAAAGAAACAAGAAAGCCATTGAAAACTAATACTATGTGGGGAAAAAAAATGCTTAGAAATGTCTGTCGTGCCCTGATAATGTAAGAGACCACTAGGATAATTGAAAACATATTGTTGTCATGCAAATTAAATCACTGCCAATTTACTGCAAAGACAACCTTTAATCAATTAATTTTTTTAATAATCAAGTTTAATCAAGTAATCATGACAGCATATGCAGGGTTCATACACCATTTTTAACCAACCAAATTCCAAGACTTTTTATGACTTATCAAGTACCAAAAACAAAAATATCCAGGATTAAAGGTTAGGTTCTCCAGTACTGAATATCCAAAGCAAAACAATATGAATCTAAAAAACATTGATGATTTTAAATTAATAACAGCTTGGAAAGGCCGACAGAGACGTCTATGCTATCAACATAAGGCTACAAAGGGCTGGCAGAGGATGGTAACATTTAACATTGCGTATTAACGTCACCAATTAAGAGACTGATGGTGGTGCTGAACCGATAGCAGTACCCCTGAGCAAACAGGAGCTCCCACCACCCACAGCTGTAGTAGTGGCTCACAAAATGGTCAGAAATAATTCTCAGCAGAACTCATGACTTTGCTTTTTTCCCCCCCTCTTAATATGGCTTTTAAATGCAGACTCACCAATACTTCCAATATCAAATTTCTTCAGTTCATGTAATAATGGCATCCCACCATATGTTTATTTTTCCTTGTTGAAGCCAGTCCTTATAACTTTTTGCCAGCCATCGCATGTTAAACTGATATAACTGTGCTTGATATTTGCTCTACGATACTAGCTAAAAAGACCATCTAGCCTAAAGCAAAGGACATGATGCACATGCTACTTGATTCCACACGTAAGAAAACAGTCATGTGAAAGTTTGACACTAAAGCACCCATCACAAAAAAAGCTTGTCCCCTGAAACAGAATCTGTGAGGATCCGCAGCAGGAAAAAAAAACAAGTTCCTCGGCGGATTGAGCGGAGCCTGTGAAAACCACATCCTGCCGTGAGATATAATGCCGTTTTGAGCAGTGCACGCTATGCCACCTGAACGCAGCCTTATGCCACTATCAAAGTTTGTGAGTTTATATCATGAAATAAAAATTATTAAAGAAATCCATGGTCATATTTTACATGACTTTAAAGAATGTTTTTCTATCTTATTTTCCGAGGACAATTCAGTACTGGATTTTAGCATGTTAATTTTCCTATGACATTCCAGGTTTTCCAGGACCTTATAAACCCCAGTATTAATGTTTAGAAAAGTTACCTTTGCTCTCTCAGCGTAGCCTGTATCTCACACACTCGCACTAAGGAGCGAAGTTTCTTCAGCTCTGTGCAGATCTCCGACATGTTGATGCTACCCATGTTATGGAACTCCTCGCGTAATCTTGAAGCCTGAGTGACAGAGGAAGGACACAAGCATTTCAGGGCCATTGTATATCCTTTGTCTGACCAGAAAATTGACTGAAAAACTAACAGGGCCTCACCTGCTTCTCTATGTGATCCGTAGGCCAGCTTTGGACATGTCTGATGAGATTCTCATTGAAGTGCAGTGCCAGAGAAGGAGTGAAGGTGGTTGGAGGGCATGCAGAGGCGCTGCTAACATTGGTCACCAGGCAGCCGTTTGGCCCTGAAGTTGGAGGTCCTTGGCTACTGTAAGGAAAGTGACCAAGAAGTGATATGAGTGCAAAATTCTGTATAAACAGTTTGTTGCAGCAAAGCATCTGAATCACATTGAACAGAAAAGAAACAGATTGCAATACCACAATGACCCATTAGATGGAGCCACAATACAACAAACTATCAGGCAAGTATTTTTCGGTCCACTCAACATACAGTGAAAAAATGTACAGAATAACACTTATAAAGGTCAGCCTGAGGTCAGGAAAAAAGCAAACTTTTGCAAGGCTTTTCAGGTGTTTAAAAGCTGAATAATATTGTTAAAAACACATTGCTCTGTCAGGTTTGAATTATGGAAACCAAAAGTACAGATGTTTTCATAATCTATTAACACATTTAAAAAGCTTTGAAGTGTAAGAGCATTACTTTTGCCTTTGAAGCCGTGGGTCCTCGAGTTCAGCCACTTTGTCCGTGTTGCCAGACGAGTGCTGGAGAGCTGACCCTGATTTCATCACCGACTCGCTAACCTGAAAGAAGAAAGACCCTTTGTTTCTGTCTTAAACAGACACTCCACCCAGCAAGTTGATGTTTTGAAACTGCTGACAGCAACAAGATATCCAGAGTTGAGAAACTAGAATAGGATCATTTAAAAATAACAGCTCATGTCACAGATTGAGTAAATGACACTTGACATGTTATGAAAAAAGGTTTTACATGTTAAAACAACAAAATAAAAGTAATGGTGAGTAGTGTCAGGTTTGTGCCTGGTGTTTACTTTAGGTTGAGCAGGCATTGATCCAGCACTGTGCAGGGGCTTCTGGGTGACTGTGTTGGTCTGAGGCGTGCTGACTCTGGGCGACACGTAGGACCTTGGCGATGAAGCATCTGGTGTTACTGACATAGGCGACTGTCCAGACTGTTGAGCTGAGGATTAGAAACAGAAATCAATTACAAATAATAGAATTAGAAACAATGAATCACGGGAATAATAGTGCCATGGAACAAATAAGCGTTTTGAAAATAGTGTAGGAAAAAATACTGAAAGGCTAGCTGCAGATCCACTCTGGTTTTGATAGAGCTTTCATGTAGAACAAACACATCTACAGAGGTGCAAGCAATTAGAGCTGCAAAATATGGACAAACATACCGTATATCAATTGTACTATTTAAAAGGACCCATAATCGTACAATTTTCCTGTACTCTATTTTCGTCCCCCAAGGTCTACTTATGACATTAAATGCATAGTATGTACCAAATACAGTCATAATTTGTACTTGAGCTTTTCCAACTTGCCTTTAGCTTTTAGAATTAAATGGGCTGTATGTCACTGTGCCTTTAAGACTGATGTAAATGAACTCTACTGATTGGTTGTCCTGTATTGTGCCTCATTTCCAAAGCAGTCTAGGCTGAAACACTCCTAATAGCAGCTTAAACTGCTGATTAAACTGCTTAAACGGCTGTAGACTGAATAAATGAATATATCGCTGCTGTTGAAACAAAACCTTGTATCTCCATTTCTTACATTTTTCAGTTTTTGACATAATTTGAAAATATCTGTTGCCCTTTACAATGTGTGTAATATTTATTATTAATGGACCAAAGGAAATGGCCCAAAAGAAATGGCCCAAAATGAGTTGGGATAAAGTCTGGTTACACTGACTTCCATTAAAAGTTAAGAATGTTTTTTCCTTCATCTGTAAAGTTACCTCTCTAGAGATACAAGGTTTTGTTCCAACAGCAGTGATATGTACGTGTGTTGATTATCATTTAAAACAGAAGCTTTTTCTGCAGCTTAACTTCCATATATGAATTGTGAACAGCACAATTTAAAACTTAACAGCATTTACATACATCAAACATTTCCATTTAAAAAAAAAAAAAGCAAAGAAATTTAGTGTTTAGTGTTGGCATGTTACGATGAGACATCAGTGGACATTTGTGATCTGGTTAATTGGTTAGGAATAGGTGGCTGTGTGTTTATACAGGTCAAACAAAACTTAATATCTGCATGCACTACACATTAAGATGCTGCAGTTTTGCCATGTGCTTTTGGATGGGCAATTCTGTTACATGATGTATGAACTGTCCAGAGTGACCAGAACTGTGGGCATACCTTGAGTGGACAACTGAGCAGCTTGGGAAAGCAGAGTAGTGATGTTGAAAGCAGACGGTCCAGCAGTGAGAATTTTATGAAGCATAGACTGTAAGGAAGCTTGGGTGACAGCAGCTGTAAGGACTTGGAGAGGGAAACACACAAAAGAGAAAGAGAGACACACAAACACAGAGTCAAAGCTGGATTATATACTGAAAGCCATTGCAAAGACAACATAGAGCTCTACTCGAAATATAGTAAGCTGCACACTGTAACTTGTAAGAAATTGAGAATAAAGTGGAGAACTGAAGTGAGAGTGCACAAGATTAAAGTATTATATCAGTATCATGACAAATTACATCACAGTCATTTTCATTAAAAAGGGGTGTTGATAAGTCTTAAAGAGGTGTAGTCTTTGGCTTTGCCCTACTGTCCGGAGATCACAGGTTCTAATTCTGGCAATACTGAGCGTCCAAAAGAGCTTCAGATCTAACCCTTCATGAGTTAAGTGCGTTAAGAGGGAGACTATTACAACTACACAGTACTTCACTGCAGACACTGAGAAAACTCATACAGACATACAGTTCAGAGTAAAAGCTGCACAGGAATGCAAGAATTCATAAAGGTTCACAAGCAGGATGAATCCAGCATACAGTGCATAACGCCATCTACTGGTAGAATGTCAGATATGAATTTAATTTAAGGCCAGCTTTGTACCGCAAAAGACACACATGCTCTTCAGGGTCTAGGAGACAATCTAGTGTGCCTGACCAGGGCTAGAGCATGCATCCTTTGCAAGTCTGTCTCAAGATAAAGTCTGCCTATTGTTGTTCATCCAGAATCAAGTCAAAATCACGCACGCTCTAAATAAGCTTCGCACACCTGCAGTGCACTGTAAAGGGTTAAAACAGCAGAAGTCTCAAGAGCAGCGTGGCACAAAAACGCCAGAAGAAGGAAACAGCTTTGGACGACAGTAGGGCTGTCACTATCAATTATACAATATTTTAATGCCTGAAACTGAAGATAACAAACTATACACTTCAAAAGCCTCCAAAATATATCTTAATAAAATGGTAAACTACAAAACCTAAAGGGAAACTAAAATATAGCCAAAAAAATTGCATTTAAATTCAAGTGTTAATCGGGCTCTTTTTCCTACGATAAAATAGAGCAGCAGGAGATTTTACTTTTTGTTTTATCCTCAAGCAATCTGCCAACCAACTGTTGATAAATAAAGATAAATTTAGTAAAGTAACTTTGGATCAATAATTTTTTTTTTATTGAATAATCACATTTAATACCAATCATGACAGCCCTACACAAAAGTAGGCTTTCACTGGGGAAGTGACAGAAGCGACACGTAATAAAATGGCCACAAGAGATGTGCAGACAACCCCGAGTAAAATGCTGAGATCACTCTTCTGAGCGCTCACCCTCATTGATTTTGGCCATATCCACGTTGGAATTGTTAATCTGCAGGGTAGCCTGTAATGCAGGCAGCAGCTGTCTAAGAAGAGCCGGGTCCTGCAGTAGAGCGGAGGCGTGAGACTGGAGAGCTGGGGACACTGTGGTAGAAGTGGATGAAGTGGAAGCGCCTGAGGCATGCAAACCACCAGAAGCACTGGAGGACGCCTGGGAGAAGCCGGAATGCACCGAAGGCTTGTCAGACGGAGTGGGCTCTAAAGATGGAGCAGAGATTCCTCTTAATTTCTTCACATAAGAAAAACATGGTTTGTGCTTAAGAAGCACTGTTTTACACACTAGGGCTAGACAAAATACTAGTATTGTGATTAGATTGTGAGATGCCTTGCGATATATTTAAAAACTCATCTGGAACTGTGGACAGGATGCTCAAAGTAGACTACGGCTACACGATATGGATATAAAACGCTGTGTTTGATAAAGCTGGATATCGTGATGAGTAAGCGATAAACTGTAAGTAAAACAGTATGTCTTTGAATAAGGCTAAGCTCAGACTGCAGGCAAATCAGACTTGTATCTTAAACCACATCTTTTGAGATGACTCATTTCCAAGTGATAAGATCGGATTTGTGCGTCCAGACATTACCAATCTATCTACATGGGTTTCTTTGGTAACAACGCAGGCAACTACACAGCAACGCTGTTGACATGGCAGTTCATGAATCCCGGCACTTCAGTCACTCTAGACTTGACATCGTCGCTGTTTGTCATGTGTGTGACACAAATACAAAATACAAAAATCTGAGTGTCCAGAGCGTCCAGACTGAAAATCAATCTGGCTACAATCTGGGTATGTCAAAACTGAGATGCAGGGCTGGCAGTCTGAATAAGGCCCAAGTGTACAGATTAAAGAGGAAAATATAGAGAAATTAAAGATAAATCTCTCCTTTAAATAAATTTCTCTCCTTTAAAAACACAAGATCAGTCCAATTCACTCTTGCACAAATAGCAAAATTAAAACTATACAGCTACTTAGATTAATTATGCAAGCACATTAATTATGCAAACAGATTTTTCACAAAAAATGTATATTTAATTTCTCAAAAGCTCCTTATGATGATGCAGGTTTGTTGTGACAGTAGTCATTACGGCTTCATACGCTTTGCACACAACACTAGGATCAGGAAGCACAGAGCTATAATGATACAAATATATATATATATATATATATATATATATATATATATATATATATATATATATATATATATATATATATACACATATAAAGTGAGAGGTTAGATGGCTCATTCACAACTTTCAGCAATACCAGCATTTCAAAAGCCAATACTGTGATAATTAATATACATTTCACTTTTTCAATTACTCTTTCATTTAGTACTGCTAAAATATCACAAGGGCTTACACTTCCTGTACTTACTCATACCGGTGACGGCACTGGCAGTTGCGGCCTGCATGGCCTCTTGTCTGTAGTCTCTATCTTTGGGAAAATTGTTGACCACAACAGCCTTAGACGCTTCCTTCTGTCGCTGTTCCCTACACAGAGAGAAAAAGTTCTGATCAGTCCAGTGTTACAGTTTGCTGGTGTGAATTTCTGTAACATATGACACATGGGACTCACCTCTCCAGCCACTCCTTGGGCTTCTCCCACTGAGACACCTCCGTTCTGCAGTTGTAATAGTACTTCTTCCCCGAAGAGCTGATGTGCTCAGACCAGTCATCAGCTGGCTCACGGGGCTGAAAAGGAAACAAGGAAATAAGCATAACGCATGTAAACCAAGACCACAAAGAGAGAGTATTTGACATAATGCCATAAAAACAGGAATAAAGCCATTTGGTCAGCAGCTGCATGCCCAGAAATCAAATCTCACGCATATCAAGTTTACATTACATGCATTACAACTGACTTTTATCAAGAGCAGGGGAAAAACACAACGGGAGTAACTGAACACTAAAGAAAACAACCTGCACAACATGCAAATATGATGCAGGACGACAAAATGTGTGGTAAGCACAGAACACAACACATTGAACTGTCAGGATGTTGCTGTGGGTGAAAGTGTCAGAAGAAGACAACTTTTGGTGAAAGATGCAACCAGCTATGACATTTTTAAGACTGACTGTTTCACCAAAAACAGCCCAGCAGTAAGAATTTTATGAAGCCCACAAACCTTGTTTGTATTGTACTGGGGACCTTCCAGGCCAAAGTGCTGTGGAGATTAGCGTTTACCCTCATCTAATGCTCTGAATTCAGTTCATGAAGGCCTTGCTAATTAGCTGATGAGCTGAATCAGGTGTGTTTAATGAGGCAGCACGCTGAAGTCTGCAGAGTTTTGGCCCGCGAGGACTGGAGCCTGACACATGTGGTTTAAACAGTGGAGTACACCATAATACTGCACTCTTTAGTCAGTGAGCTAACTAGTTCAATTTAGGCCACTGCAGAATAGCACCCAAAATACTGTGAAATTAGCTCACTCTATCATTATGATTTCAATTAATCAGTTTTAATTAATCAGTTAAAAGCTGTAGTGTTTTATATAAATTACTTTATTTAAAACGTTCATCTTCCAAATCAGTGGTTTTCAACCTGTGGTCCGCGGCCCCCCCAACAGCCGTGGTGGTACTTTCCAGGGGGCCGTTGGCCATTAGGTTTTTTTTTGTTTAACTGCAAAATTTGTTTAATTTAACATTTAATTAAACGTTATGTTAAAACCGACAAATATTGTTGACTGTTTGTAAAAATAATTTATATCAAGCTCACTGATTGTTCTGGCAAACTGCTAGCAAGTATGCTTACAGTATACAGTGCAAGTCAATGTAGGATGTTCCACTTTTCAATCGTACTGGGACTCATCAATTATGGATAAACGTTTAAAAGGGTCTTTCAAAGAGAAAAAGATCCCGAGGCTGGGCCATCTACAAGTGAAGCACCACCGTATCTCAGAAGAGAAAGAAGAAAACCAGAAAACACTAAGCAGCGCTCAAAACAACGAAAACACAGCAGTGAGTGCCTAGTGCCGGGCTTCACATTCATGAGAACTGAAACCAAGTAACTGCCACCCTGTGCTCTTTGCTCACAGGGCTTTTCAAATGAAGCTTTGAAATGCAACACTTTACACGTCACTTGCCTATTAAACATAGTGAATGTGTATAAACCTGTTAAACTGAGCCAGAACTCTGTTTGCAACTTTCCTCTTTAGCCTCTTTTACCAGCATTCAGTAGCTGCCAAACAACATCAGCTGTTATTAAGGGAGTCAGAAATATGGATCTGATCGGTGGAATCTTCTTGCGGACCGCGTAAGCTCACATTTTCTGAAAAATCAAGTATTCAGTGACCTCAAATGCTCATCCCTTCAACCAAAAGTCCAGTTTCAGTTTGGTAAATTAAAACAGAGCTGGCTGAAAAGCAGACAACGACTTGATTAGGGATGTGCATTCCAGCTAATTTTGATATTTGTGTATCTGGAAGAGTTAATGAACGGATATCTGGGTAACCACAGGGAAGGATGGCCGAAGGCTTACTCTTTTAGTGTTACGAGGCTAAAAATCAGTAGCACAAATATTTTGCAGCAAGCAGAGGAAGATGTTTAAAAACATGTTCTACTATTAAAAAAAAAAGCTGAGGCAAATCGGTAGTTTTCATATTGAATGAGCAGCTAAAAGTACAGCTAACTAGTACGACACTGGATGCTGATGAGGACTTATAGCTCTACATAATGTATATGCTCCTCAGTGGACAATGGGCCAACATGTTAAGTTTGTTAGGGAAATACACACCGACTGTCCACTTCATTTGGTACACCTCCTTGTTTCTACACTCACTGTATATTTTATCAGCTCCACTTACCATATAGGAGCACTTTCTAGTTCTACAATTACAGACTGTAGTCTGTTTGTTAGCTCCCTTTCACCCTGCTCTTCAAATGGTCAGGACCCCTACAGGACCACCACAGAGCAGGTACTATTTGGGTGGTGGATCATTCTCAGCACTGCAGTAACACTGACGTGGTGGTGGTGTGTTAGTGTGTGTTGCACTGGTCTGAGTGGATCAGACACAGCAGTGCTGCTGGAGTTTTTAAACACCTCAGTGTCACTGCTGGACTGAGAATAGCCCACCAACCAAAAATATCTAGCCAACAGCGTCCTGTGGGCAGCATCCTGTGACCACTGATGAAGGACTAGAGGATGACCAACACAAACTGTGCAGCAACAGATGAGATCGTCTCTGACTTTATACCTACAAGGTGGACCAACAAGTCAGATGTGTAATTGAGTGGACAGTGAGTGGACACAGTTTAAAACTCCAGCAATACTGCTCTGTGGTGGTCTTGACCATTGTAGAACCAGTGTGTGTGAATGGGGGCTAACAAAGTATGCTCAGAAACAGATGGACTACATTCTGTAATTGTAGAACTACAAAGTGCACCTATGAGGCAACTGATAAAATGGACAACAGCTCTTTTCCACTGTAGAGCCAAGCGGTTCTCAGGGCCATACTGTGCCGTTCAACACTGGTGCAGACTTATGAGACCGATTACGGTTTCATTTTCCATCTGCTGTGCCACTAAATGAAAACCAGAATATACTGAGGAAGACAACATGAGTGGCTTACTGTTAACATCCTAATACCTACACACACACCCAATACAAAAGACGTTAGATTCTATCTGTTACTCCAACACCAGTCACTCGATACTGTGCTCTCAGATTCTTTATCCTCTGAACGGGTGTTCTTTGAAAATCAGTTAATGAAACCAAGCCTGTGATGCAGTGGGTTGCACCTGTAGCCAGTTAACTACATTACTAATGCTACCTAGAAGCACCCAAACAATTCTTTTTCTTAATCTTTTTGCCACTTCAACACCAGACATTCAAATTTGTGCTACCAGACATGAGTCTTTATCCTTTAAACAGGTGTTTTTAGCATCGGTTCACTGGATTCGAGCCTGTACTGCAGTGGTAGGCACCGTATTAGCTTAGCCCAGCAGGCTACGGCTCAGAACGCTGCAGACCAAAAAGTCGACTTTACTCTCGCTGTTATAAGCTTTTATGGTCTATACTTGTGATAGCAGAGCACAAGTTAGTCGAATCAAATCTGTACTGGGGTGTTTGCATCTCAATAACTAAGCTAGCTAGGAGAGAGGAGCCAGCTAGCATTAGCTAAGAGGCTACAGCTCCAAACACCACAGAACAGGTTTAATTTAGGCTTTTTTGCCCCTCTAACACCAGCCGCTCGACTAGTTGGTCTCAATCTGTGGTGAGCAGCAATGGCAGCATGCTAGCTAAGCTAATGCTAGCCAGCTACTCCATCCTGGTTAGCAGCACTGTTTAACATTCAGAAATTGTTAGATAAAGCTTTGACATTTATTCAGTGGTGAATTAAAAATTATGCACTGCTTTCATTTATGTGGCATCCATGTGACCAAACTGAACTAAAAACGTAGACACACATACATTTAAAACCAAAACAAAAAATCCTGTTAAAATACAGAAGTAGCATTTTATTCAATTGTAACTGTTACCTGAATAGTAATTTCAGTAATCAACTACTGGCACCTCAAACAGTTAACCGAGTATTCGACTACCCATGCACATGTCTAGACATTATGATTTTCACTCTGGGCTACAGTTTTAGCATCTCAGTTTCCATTCTGAGCTACTGCATATTTTCAGTGTATTAAACAAACAGAACAGTTTTACAAAATTTACTGAAATCCATCTTTTTATATGATGTTAAAGTGGCAAGTTTCCACATTCCTGACTCATATACGACCCTGTACTGCAGTCCCTATTACCTCTATTTCTTCACGTGATGGAATGTTACATGGGAAGCGTAAGTGTTATCAAGCCAACTAACCTACATGATTCATCGGCAACTACTTCTTATTATCAACGTTATTGCTTTGATCAGTTTGTTGTTGCAGCTCTACCAAAATTCAGACACTTAGAACATACAGGGTACCCTGCATTACAAAAAAAAATGAAAGATGATAGCAGCACGCTTACCATTTCAGAACATTTGCTAGGAAGGGAGTGAGAGTTGGCACTGTGATGGGCATGATTGAGCGAGTTCTCTTGTGGCGAAGAGCTGGTGCCTAAAAAACAAAGATGTAACATTCAAACACAACCTCACAGGTCTAATATCACTATAACAAGTGCATATTTCATATGAATGTTTTACATGCTGCACTGCTGGTTTACAGGCCAGTATGGAGACATGTTTCACAGCGCAAACTGTGGAAACAGTGGTCTCATGATAGGGTGAGCCTTATTTTCCAATGACCTACCAGTTCGGGCTAATGATATACAACACCAAAAAGCTGAAGTTCCTGACTTTTTCCAGTGTTGTACCCAATTTTTCCACTGACCAAAGAACATATTAAGCTTCATCACAAGCTGTCACAGCAGTAAGGCTTTCTGCCTTCCTTTCTAAGCCTCTGTTTGTTCCGGAGTGAAACCACCTAATCATATGAATCCCGAGGGAACAGTCAGTCAGTTGAGAACAACAAGATACTATCAATAAATATAACACTGACAGTAATCAGTGAAGTGTTACAGGTACAGAGCACAACACTATACCCTTGCTTGAGGCCGCACAACTGTATCTCCTACAGGAAGTAGACAGACACAGGGGATCCCAGAGATGAGGTTGTCAGAATATGTATGTTTATGGAGAACCTGATCAGCTGCTTATAGGTTAATTCTGAACTGTGCTAATTTGTTCAGAGCACATGAAACAAAACTGTTATCATGACTGACTGATCAAATTTATTATTTCCAACAGATTTGCTCAATACGGAATAGTGCAATGGAGTAAAAACCTTTTAGTAAACGATTTGTTAAAGACACTACTGGCAAACCCTAAACAGGAGTTCCCTTCCACCGAATGCTCGGAAAGACAACAGTGCAAACGGATAGCAATGCCAAAGAAACTACTGCATGTCCCTGCAAACAGACTGAGCCTTCTGGGCACTACTGCAAAACGAGACACACAAGGGATTTAAAACGACAAAAAAAACAGCTGAAAATTGCTTGATATTCTTCTTGTTTGAACTTACTGCTCTCCTTAGGTCGATGTATGTGGAGTGCTCTTGCATGGCCGTGCCCAGAGCCATCACTCTGCTTGCTGTCAGGACTATCCGACCGGCGCAGCATTTTAGCTGGTGGAGTTTGGTCTGATGAGTTGTGGACCTTTTCATGACGGTGGTCATTTGCAGAATGACTCTTAGACTGGTATTTGAAGGTCTGCAAAAGAAATGATAAGAGAACGTGGACTTGGTGGTGGTGACAGGAGATTGAGAGAGAAGCCTAAACCAATACTTTTATGAAAAAAAAATAAAATAAAATAAATCAATAAAAAAAAACAATTACCAGTGGCTACAAAACAAAGTAAAAATAAATAAATAAATAAATTAATAAATAAAAATACAAAAAAAAAAAAAACTCTTCTGCCAACTGTAAGGGAACTTTTTAGAACAAGTATTCATAGGCACTGAAACTGAAATCTGCTAGGCTCTATTCTTTCTTTTGGAATTTTTGGGTCTAAAAAAGTGAGAACAGTTCAGGAGCCGTCACCAAAAAAACAGAACAAACTTCAGCTCAAAAAGGGAATTAGGAACTAAATGTAAATGGTATAGAGAAGCTAAGTAACAAACAGATCTCCTTCCTCACAAAAACACTTTAATGAGTTACAATTTGAAAACATTAACAAGAAGAAAAACTCCTTGTATCTACACTCATTGTCCATTTGATCAGCTCCACTTACCATATAGGTGCGCTTTGTAGTTCTACAATTACAGACTGTAGTCCATCTGTTTCTCTGCATACTTTGTTAGCCCCCTTTTACCCTGTTCTTCAGTGGTCAGGATCTCCACAGAACCACCACAGAGCAGGTGTTATTTGGGTAGTGGATCATTCTCAGCACTGCAGTGACACTGACGTTGTCGTGGCGTGTTTGTGTGTGTTGCACCGGTACGAGGGGGCCAAACACAGCAGTGCTGCTGGAGTTCTTACAACACCTCAGTGTCACTGCTGGACTGAGAACAGTCCACCAAAATCTCCAGAAATATCCAGCTGACAGGTCCCGTGACCACTGATGAAGGACTAGAGGATGACCCACACAAACTGTGCAGCAACAGATGAGCTACAGTCTCTGACTTTACATCTACAAGGTGGACCAACAAGCTATGAGTGTCTAACAGAGTGGACAGTGAGTGGACACAGTGTCTAAAACTCCAGCAGCACTGCCGTTTTTGATCCACTCAGACCAGCACAACACACACTAACACACCACCACCACATCAGTGTCACTGCAGCTCTGAGAATGATCCACCACCCAAATAGTACCTGCTCTGTGAGGGTCCATGGGGGTCCCGACTATTGAAGAGGGTGAAAGGGGGCTAACAAAGTATGCAGAGCAACAGATGCACTACAGTCTGTAATTGTAGAACTAGAAAGTGCACCTATATAGTAAGTGGAGCTGATAAAATGGACAATGAGCGTAGAAACAAGGAGTAGCTTTTAATGTTATGGCTGATTGGTGTAATTATATACATGCATCTGAGAAAAAATAAGTCGTTTCTCACCATTTACAAACCCTTGAATCATCTTTAACGACATAGCCAAGGGCAATGAACAGTCAGAATTTACGACTGACCTCATTACACTACATGTTAATATGGGAAAAGCCTTTGAACACGTAAAATAAATGAACTGCTTAACGAATGAATGTTGACCTGTAGTCGGTCTGAGGTCTGCTTAATTTGGCCAGTTGTCTTTACCTGACAACCAGCTAGGTAGTTGCTTTTGCCTAAATATTCTCTCAATAGAGTGCAAATATATCAGTATTGCATTTAAATGTGTTAAACTGAGTAAAAAGCAGATACATCTCCTCACGAATGCTGCTCCTCCAGGCCCGCAGTCTCTGTCTGCAAACCTGGCCAGCTAAGCTGCGTACGGACGTTGTGCGAGCCGGTCTGCTGGCTAACATGGTCTTAAATATGAAACTGAAACCTACGTATACGTACACCACTAAAAGTACATCACCTAAAGATTATATTTAACCTGTCTAGACCAGGTCCTACCCATCTAATCTAGGAAACCAGGCAGGCCTGAATCTCGCTAGTTAGCTTAGCCGGCTAAACACTTCAGTTGCCGGTTAATACAACTAAAACCCATTCGCTGGCAGCTAGCTAAAGGTTGGGCTGTTTAATTTCTGAGTGGGACTATCTGTACCTGGTAAGACTGATAATCCCTTCGGTCACTGCACCTGTAAGAGAAAGGAAGAAAAGTTAGTGATGCAGCGGGTCGCTAACTTAGCCAGTTAGCTCGTTAACTTTTATTTGTGAGCTTGGACGCGAAGCTAATGCTAAGCTAAGCTAGCGCTAGCTTTCAGACGAAAGTGACAGAACCGCCGCTCGCTGTCTGCATGTGAAACGAGACCGAATCCTGAGTTTAGTTACTGTAAAAGCTGAAATGAGGTGTTAAAATGTTCAAAATGGGGTAGAAAGTGTCTGTTTTTTTTACCCATCAGCGAGTCTCGGTTGTTTCCGCGCGTACATTACCATTAACGCTTCTGCTGCGGATGTGGACGCTCGCCCGACACTGAGAAAGAAAATAATAATGAAAAAATAAAGTGCACTACGCTTCTCGCCCGTTTTATCCGCAGCCTCAATAAACTGAACAAAGTTATTAAGATTTGCAATGCTGTTTTTTGCTGTTTGCGCTTTGCTATTCTGGGGCTGAAAGCTGCCGGTCCATCCCTCCGGGGGTTCAGAGTGGCGCCCCCTAAAACAGGTTGGACAAATTTCACTTTCATTCATACAACTGTGGCAAACTGTTTTAGATGTTGGCTTGATTTAGATAAACGACAATAATCAGCTAATAAAATGTACGGAACCCACATGATGACATGGTGATTTTTTTTTTTTAATAAGGCATGGCCACGCATTACTATTTTGAGACCACGTGTTAAGTTTCTCATAAATCGTGGCCTCAATATATTAATTTGTGGCCTCAATATAGTAAATTGTACGGAGCCCCGCTGGTGACATCCTGTATAAATAAAAATAATGCGTGGCCACGACTTAGTAAGGCGTGGAAATGAGATGATTAAGTCATGGCCACGACTTAGTAAAGCGTGGAACGAGATCCTAATGCGTGGCCACGACTTGGTAAGCCATGATCTTGTTCCCACGCTTCACTAAGTCATAAGGCGTGGCCACTCATTATTTTTGTTTATACAGGATGTCACCAGCGGGGCTCCGTAAAAATTGTGGCCTCAGTATGATAATTTCAGGCCTCAATATATTAATTTGTGGCCTCAATATAGTAAACTGTGGCCTCAATATAGCGATTTGTGGCCTTAATATAATAATTTGTGGCCACGCCTTATTAAAAACATAATCATCATGTTACCTTAAGGGCTCTGTAAAAATGTTATTATTATTACTGAAAAAACTGAAAAGTAAAAATGATGTGGAATTCTCAGGTTTTTTAGTACATAAGGATTCAGCACTCGTTAGAAATGATTCAAGGCTTTTCACAATTCATTTATTAGAAGGAACAACATTATTAGAAGTATGAGATAAATCTTAACATATAGGTACATCATTTTTCACAGTTTAATTTTGAATGACATTTCAAAATTATAAAATAATATAGTATAATTTGTTTAAATTTTATATTTTATGAGTGAAAATGTGTCATGAATTAAATAAATCAATAAAAATGTACAAGTAGAAAGTTTTATTTTTACACATAAGAAGTAAATTGGATTTTCACAAACAATTTCAACAGCTTTGCATAATAAGGACAGATCTCTACACCTTCGGATGTACACGTTTATTCAGTTTCCATGTGCTTAAGTGAAATTTTAATGAATTTGTACTTGAGTATTTTGAAATTACAATCCTTGTATTTTTTACTTAAGTACATATTTATGGGAAACCAAAACTCATTAAACTCACCTGACTCAACTCTTCAGCTAATAAGCAAGGCTTTTTTGAGTTGAACTGAGTTTAGTGCTAGAAGAGGGGAAACACTGATCTCTGCAGAGCTGTGGCCTGAAAGGAACCCAGTATGACCCAGCTAATTATCAAAGTCCTTCTGAAACTGATTCAGGCCTGTTAGAACATGAAAAACATGAACCTGTGCAGAGCAGAAGGACCACAGCTGGGGAAAAAACAGGCTATCCAAACATCTCACTAAAATACTCTGTCTTTTAAAAGAATGATTTGGCAAAAAAAATCACATTTGTAAATGTAGCCAGCAACTAGTGCTAATGTAGTAATGAACGTAATGGAAATGTACACTCTACCCATTTGCATTGTGCACACTTGATGCCTGAATCATCACAAAGTTAATAAAAGTTATCTCACATAGACTTGCTTATGTGGTTTTGTGACACTGACATACTATTATGTAATAGTGTTAAAAACAAAATTAGCCATTTTTAAAAGTCACTGAACTTTAGAAATCATTGAACGGATGGGAAGGGTTGGAAAATCTGGCATGGCATGCTGCATGTACATCACTGATGTTTATTGATGTTGCTCATGGTGTATTTGCTGGGGATGGAAACAGGGACCACGTGCTCTGCTCTGTCATTGAACATTTCTGCTAGCCCGGTGCATTTGGGTCAGTATTGATAATCGTCTTGGTGATAACACAGCTGCAAACAGTTTCATACTTTACTGGACTGTGCTTTGGTGAGTCTTTTACCATATTTTCTGATTTTCATCTCTGATTTTAGAAGTAGACCTTAGGCAAGTAGAGGAAGAACTTGTCTTTGTAATTAGATCTTAGAATTAGTGTCGGCCTATTGATTAGGCAGCCTAAATGTGCCATTATATGTCATTGCACTATTCTTGGTATAATATGTAAAAGTATGTATACTTTGCTATTAAAAGATTGATTTGGTGCAGATGAAGTTCATTTACAGCATGAAGTTATATAGCTAATATAATATGCTATAAAACGCCGGAATACTTCAGTCATTGTGCACTAAAGAAATCAAACCATTGTATTCTTAATTAGTGATTTTATTATTGTGCAATTATGAAAATCAAAGCATAATTAGAGAAAATAGAATACAAATTTGAGCAGCTCTTTTACAAGTAAAAAGTTGGTGAACCTTTCCTCTAATCTCTGCATAGGATTACATGTTTTCTCCACTAGGTGGCAGTACATGCCTTGTCATAAAAAAGCAAGAGCAAAAATACTACATCACTACTAAAAGTGCATTCAATAGTATAGCTTGTATAATATAGAAATCCTCTTTTTACTTATTCAGCTATTCAAATATGGCATGCGTTGTTTGCAATAAAAAAGAGAGTTGAGTATTTCTTCTACAGAGCCCCTCTGTAATCTTGTAATATTTTCATATACGTTTTTTTTTAATGAGTGTTCAACACTAAACCACAGAAATGCTGAAATACAGGCAGCTGATTTTGGATCTTATTATACAATATTATTATATATTATATAAACAATATAAAATACTTTCGAAGTTTTCAAAAATGAGACAATATTTAAACAGCTATTAACCACTTAAAATCCCAGTTGATTTACATACTAAGGCTTATAATTCAGTGACTACAGGGATTTCAGTGCAAACTGGTTGAGCTATTCTTAGATTATAGAAGTGTGTCATAAAACTTTGAGCCCACCATAAGGGGTTATTATACTCGTAGTGGCTGTGCAAGTATAGCCTAAATGTAGAAAACATGTCCAAAACCGCATACTAACACACTAAATATTCAAAATAAAACACTACTATTAGCAGTATTCATTAGTCTGATCTGTATAGTGTATATATAAAACAGTATAGTATGTGATGTGAATGTGTTTCCTTCTTGTATTTCAGGTTTCCTTTACAGTGACTGTTTATTTCAGCATCATACTAAGGACTAATCTAAGGATTTTGCTCTGCAAATATTTATGTATATTATCATGTTGTGAGCTGATCCTGGATTAGCTATCTTGATCTGAGTCATCTGATTGGTTTAAATGACCTCTGCTATTAACTGTTATGAGAGGAGAGCATTACAAAATTAAAGGGGTAGCTTTAACCACCACTCATTTTAACTGTATTGTAAACTACATACATACATACATACATACATCTTCTAAACCGCTTATCCTTCTGGGTCGTGGTGGGGTGCTGGAGCCTATCCCAGCTGTCATTGGGCGGAAGGCAGGATACCTGTATTGTATCCTGTATTGTAAACTGTACATCTAAATGTTTGTAGATACCTGCTCATCCAACGTTTGTTCCAAAATCATGAGTATTAATAGAGAATTTGTTCTACTGTTCTGGGAAAGCTTTACACTGGATGTTGGGACATTGCTGTGAGGATTTGATTGCATTCAGCCACAAGAGCATTAGAGAGGTTCAGGTATTGATGTTGGGTGATTACTTCTGCATCACAAGTGCCACTCCAACCCTCCATCACTTCCCAGCTCAATGCTGTGGGGGTTTACACCCCTCTAGTCGATGCTTGGCCTTAGGCATGGTGACTCATCGTGGCTCATGTGTGGCTGCTCCAGATCATCTCACTTTATCACCAATGTTTTCCATTAATGTGTGCACACTTTTGGACATAGGATCAGTTCCCCGGAGAGGGATTAAGCCTAGTCCTGGATTCCACAGCATTCTGAATGGAGATTCTCCATTGAAATGTCCAATCCTCATCTGGGAAAGTGACCCATGGTGTATGTAGGACATAAGATACACAAATAAGTGTGGTTTTCCAGGCATGAATTAGTCCTAATCTTGGACTAAATTTCGGTGTCTAAGGAAAACTTGCATCAAAAATACCTTTAGGCTGCAAAATAGGCACCTGGTTGAAACCAGGCCTAAATGTGCGTCTAATTTTTCACTCAGGAAGCCCTACCCGTGTGATCTGGGCCTGAGCTCTGAGACTGAAACCTCCTGTGGCCTCATCAGCTGTGTTTTTACTCAGTGAAGATATGCTGTGCCCATCTGCTAATCCTGGGAGTAAGTATTAGCTCAGGCCTGAGCGGATTCTGAATGAAGAGTTGTAGTGTGAATGTTTTGTCTGGAGATTTTGTTAGAGATCTGTCTTTCTGCAGTGTCTAGTTCCAACCACAATCTGCTACACCTTTTCCATCTAATTCACTTCTTCAAAAGTTCTTGATAGCCTGGATCACATGCATTAGTGTCGGGTAAGATGGAACAGCATTTCCACCTTACAAAACTCTGGTTTATTGGCTCTGAGTGTTAAGTTTTAAAGGCACACTGTAAATTAGAACATGACATGATTACAAATATGCTGATGATTTCTGAAATCATATTTTTTCAGATTTACAAGTTCTTTACCACTATCAACATTGCATATAACAACTTGGAAGACGTGTGTAGGTTCACTGGTGGTTTTTGAATAGTAAATAAAATGGCTATATTTGTATTATTGACATTGCAACCTCTGTTTCCTATCACACCACCACTTAAAGAAATATTAATAAGTTTCTCAACAGTGCATCATCAAACCACTCTGGATGGCTTTGTGTATTTCGATGAATTAGTTATCCTGAAAATTTGAAAAAACAAAAAAAAGGTGGAATTCTCCATGAAACATCAAGCCTATCATGTGTGGTTGGTGCTGCTCCTGAAAGCTCCTGATACTTGTGTTGATTTGTGCACCAAAAATGATCAAAATGAATTTTTCCGTAAACATTTTCCAGCCTCTTTTTATTCCCTAGAAGTGAATAGGTTGCCTTTGTTACTGCATATTTAAGACAGATGAAATGTAAATGACTTCTGTTGTGATTGGCTGCCCTGTACTGTGTCTCATTCAAAGAGCAATCTGGTGAACTGCATAGACAGATATGCTACATGCCATCACAAAAACAACAAATTCAGCATGGGCTGTATTTGGAGCACACTTTCCATGTATGGATTAGAAAGTGAATGGTACGTTTTGAAACTTTAACAATGTTGCATAACTGTTTTATTAAAAAAAAAAAGAGAGAGAGAAAACTGTTTTCCATGATATTAGCCCTTTAAGACAGTCATGGAGAAGTTGAACAGGTGGACCGCAGCTGGGTTGAGCTAAGCATGACCACGCATGATATAGTTCTGCACAAGGGAGTAAGAAATAGCTTCGTTGTAGGGAGTTAACCAGGTTCATCAAACACTTCAGTAACTGAAACTATAAATCTAGCTCACTAGATTCTATGTAAGCAGCCATGATCGCACACCTGGGCTGTCAGAACCATACCCATTGTACAAATCTCTCCATGGGTGCGACCTGTTTATCTGACACAGCTTTACCAGGGAAGTTAATGGGGAGGTTTGTTAAGTTTGGAAGCTCTGTGGCCGTCTGGCTGGTTTGTTGTCCCGTGGAGAGTTCCCCTGCAGAGTTCCTCCTGGTTCTACTAATGCGGCAGCTCTGGTACCCTTCTCCTCAAATTAAGTTTAATAATCCAGTCTGTAAAAAAATTGGCAGCCGCACGCCAGCGTACATAATCATTTTTTATTTTGCGCTTTGAACAATCCCCTCATGGGTTGAGATAATGAAGACCAGTCCAATTTTCCCTTGCCTCAGCGAATGCGCCATATGCTCCTGGAATTGTAAAGCTTTCTAAAAGGTGGTGACAGGCGTTCAGGACGCTTCCTCTGCTTCTGTCACTTCAGTGAGGATGAATAGTGAGAGGGATAAAAACATAATTTTTGGCTCTGAGGCACTGTTTGGGTAGTATAGTTTCATATAAAACCATTAGAGGGTGCTGTTTGAAAGATCTTGTTGGGACAGTGCTTGAATGTTACCAGAAAGTCTGTGTGTGTGTGTGTGTGTGTGTGTGTTTGTGTGTGTGTTAATTCAAGGACCAAATGTCCCTACAGTAGGAAGGAAAACATGAACATTATGTGGGGACATTTTTCTGGTACCTCTGAGACGTGTTTTTTTTTAAAGGGAAAGCAAGGAACAACCTAATACATTTTAGTTTTTGCCTAATAATTTTAGGCCTATTTGAGCAAGATTAATACTTTTTTTTTATACAAGCAACCTACACATCTGTGCTACAAATGAAAGTGTAAATTTTGTTTCCAGAACCTACTGCTTGTGAACAATTCAGCCAAAAGTGGACTGCGTGCAAACGTTAAAACTAATAGGAGGAGTATTTTGTAACAGGCTGGGAGGATAGTTGTAACAGTCGCTAAAAAGTCTGTTTTCCAACCCAAATACATAAAAATATCCGCATCGAAAGAAATAGGATTTGTGTAAAAGAGGCTGTGTCAAATGTGGGAAATTTATTTTTAACCACAAAGTAGAAGAGCAAATATCAGTGCATGATAAAATTTAAATATATTTTATTTTCATCAGTAGCTTTTTTGAATAATCTGTGTATATGAGCATACAAAAATCGACTGAGATGGATTTTTCTCAGTATTTAGGCTTAGATTTAACACGATTTAGAACTATCCCTGCCATGTAGAGGCTGTACTTTAGCCTGACTAGCTCTGTGAGTTATTTACATACTTCAAAACTGCTACTACAGCTTCCAAAAGGGCCATAGGTGTGAATTTTATACACACAAATATATAATCAAAAAAGTTACTTTTATGGTACAAAAACTTCAGAGTGGATCTGGAGAAATGCTTGTAAGATTTCTGTGAAAATTAACAGATAATATTGCTAGGGGGATATGAGTAGATGACCAAAAGTACACTCCAACTACAAAAAAAATCCATGTTACATTTTATCCCATGTACTGGTGTTCAGATGCTGGCATGGCATAGTATTTAGGTACAATGAAAAAGCTCCATAGACAAAAACCCATAAGGATATTAACACAAGTGTTAGTGTGTTTGTGTATTGAATGCCTGTCTCATTTCCTTTGCCTTTCTCTAGGTGCATGTAGGCTGCTAGTCACTCTACTGTATGGACTGGAGTCTTATATGGATGCTACAGAGGACAGCAGCTTTCTACAAGACATGCTTATGGGCAATAGTCTACATGTGCTCATCAAGGTTATAATCTTATATTGTCAACCATAGCACTCTCTATGGTATTGTCTGCATATTAGTTCATATTAGCGGCTGTAAATATGGAAATATTTATTGTTGTTATGTCACATTATGTCACAATGTGCTTTTCTGAGCATACTGTGGACAACATCAGTACTTAAATAACACTGACCAAATTCATTACATAGACAGCATAATATCTCTTTAATTGGATTTAATAGAGAACAGTATGTGAAATGGTGAATCAAAAGCATTTTATGAGTATATATTATGAGTTTATTTTGAGGTTATTTTTTAAATTGTGGCTGTTTTGCTGGTGCATTTTGTCTGTTCCAACTTTTCAAACCTCAGTAAAACTAAATATTCTGGTGCATATTATGATATTGTGTGTCATGAAAATGATCACAGATGTAGCTTATTTGGAAATAGTATTCTCAGTCACACTTTATTTTGATGGTTCCCATTATCTTATATAAGTGTTTCCATTATCTTATTTAAAAAAAAACTCAGCAGATAATCAGAAGTATTAAGGTTAGGTGTTGGGTAATGGTTAAGTTTAGGGTTATCACATATTGCTATTGAATAGGGTTGTGATCCATTAATATGAGTATTAATAGATCTATTAGCAGATAATATATATTTAGCTGAATTAGTAAAATGCAAATTCTCATTCAAATTCAAAGAATCTTATTACCAGCAGGAAGGCACTTGTTGTGTATCTGGTATAATCCAGCATTTACTCTCTCTGTCATTCATGCACACAGTTTCTTAATGCAGGGGACTGCAAAAACAGAGAGACAGCTTTCTGCCAGTAACAGTGGAGGGTAAAAAGTTCCTAAAATACTGCAGCTAGCGCACACCCAGTAGCATCATCTGCTGGCAGACGCCTCTAATGAGTCCAACACATGCTGTCTGCGACTCTGAGAAAGAAGGCTGGATGTGATAAAAACTCAAATTAAAGCTCAGCTGGGCTGTTGAGAGCAATGTTCAGTCAGATACCTGTAGCCTGTGAGTTTCATGCTTTGGATAGAAGTTGTTTTTTCCACATCTTAGTCAAGTTAATGAAGTTAAGGGTGGGTGATATGGCATCAATATAATATGAAAATAAGACATTTTCATGATACATGATATGTATAACATTATTACTTTTTTTTGAACGAATTGGAATATCAAAATACACCAAAAAAAACAGTATCGTCGCATTACAAAAAAGATGTTTAAGAAGAATAATACAACCCCATTTCCAAAAAAGTTGGGACGCTGTGCAGAATGTAAATAAAAATAGAATGCAATGATATGCAAATCATGTAAACCATATTTTTAAAGGAAAATACTACAAAGACAACATATCAAATGTTGAAACTGAGAAATTTAATTGTTTTTTTGAAAAAATATATGCCCATTTTGAATTTTATGCCAACAACACATTCCCAAAATGTTGAGACGGGGGCATGTTTACCACTAATGCTCCCCTATACCATCATGAATACTGGCTTTTGAACTGTGTGCTGATAACAAGTTGAGTGGTCTTTAGCCCAGAGGACACAGTGTCCATGATTTCCAAAAAGAATTTCAAATTTTGATTTGTCGGACCACAGGACACTTTTCCACATTCCCTTTTAAAGTCCATTTCAAATGAGCGCAGGCCCAGAGAAGGTGGCAGCATTTCTGGATCCTGTTTATGTACAGTTTCTTCTTTGTGTTTTAGAGTTTTAACTTGCATTTGTGGTTGCAGCGATGAACTGTTTTCACAGACAGTGGTTTTCAGAAATGTTCCTGAGCCCACCCAGTGATTTCCACAACAGAATCATGTCTGTTTTTTATTGCAGTGCAGCCTGAGTGCCCAAAGACCATTGCCAGCAAATGCTGGTTTTTGGCCTTGTCCCTTGCATACAGAGATTTCTCCAGATTCTCTGAATCTTTTAATATTATTATGTACCGTAGGTGATGAAAAGCAAAATTTCTTCACTGTTTCACATTGAGAAATGGTATTCTTGAGTTGTTGCACTATTTGATCGTGCAGTCATTCACAGAGTGGTAAACCAGACTCTGCCTCTCTGAAATGCTTTTTTATAACCAATCATGTTACTAACTTGTTGTCAATCAACCACCAGGTGTTTTCTTTAGCGTTACACAACATTACCAGCCGTTCCAATTTTTTTGGAATGTGTTGTTGGCATCAAATTCAAAATGGGCATACATTTTTCGAAAACAATACAATTTCTCAGTTTCCACATTTGTTGTCTTTGTACTATTTTCAATTAAATATAGGGTTTAAATGATTTGCCCACTATTGCATTTTGTTTCTATTTACATTTTCCACAGCTTCCCAAATTTTTTGGAAATGGGGATTGTAAATTAATAAATTAAAAGACAATGTGAAAATTATTAGACAGTGGCATATTAGGCTGACAAATGCAGTTTATGCAGTTTGTTGTTTACAGGCTCTGTATAATTGGTCTAAAAGAGCTCTGACCCGCAAAGGCATGGACTCTACAATACCTCGGAAGGTGCCCTGTTCTCTGGACCATAACAAGCCACCGTGGAATTAATTTTTGTTCCAGCACATCCAACAGATGCTCAGTCTGATTGAGATTTGGAGAATTTGGAGGCCAAGGCAACACCTTGAGGTTCCTCAGATCATTTCTGAACAATGTATTCAGTGTGACAGAGTGCATTGTATTAATAAAAGAGGCCACTGCCATTGGGAATACCATTGCCATGAAAGGGTTTACCTTGTCTACAATGATGTTTAGGTAGGTCATGTGTCAAATTGATGTCCACATGAACCCAGGATTTCAAAGCAGAACACCAGAGCATCACATTCCCTCCACCGACTTGTCTTCTTCCCACAGTGCATCCTGGATTGTACACATCCCCAGGTAAACAGCACACACGTACCCGGCCATTCATGTGATGTAAAAGAAAATTGGACTCATCTGGCCACCTCAAGGTCCAGTTCCGATGCTTGTTGCATATCGTAGGTGCTTTGGACAGTGGACAGGGTTTAGCATCAAAGTTCTGTAACTTGGCTATGCTGTCAGTTTGGACCAGGCGAGATAGCCTTCATTGCCCTTGTGCATCAATGAGGCTTGGGTCACCAAAACCCTTACACCCTTACACTCCTCGGACCAGTGTCTGTAGGTACCACTACTGACCAGGAGCACCCCACATACCTTGCTGTTTTGGAGATGCTTTGACCCAGTTGTCTGGCCATAACGATTTCCCCTTTGTCGCTCAGGTTTCAGGCCTGCCCTTTTCTCCTGCTCCAGCGTGTTGACTACAAGAACGGACTGTTTAATTACAATCTAATATATCCCAGACCTTTGTTGTTACAAGACATTCAAAATTATTTGCTTCCTCTGTGAGTGGTCATAATGCTATGCCTTATTGGTGTATTTTATTGAAAATAGGCCTACAGAGACAATAAAATATATATTTAGTTCCTGGAAAAGCTCTGTATGGTGATGCAGGTTTGTTGTGACGGTAGTCATTACTGCTTCACACATTGTACACACCGCATTGTGAGAAAAGTTATCACGTTAATGTGCTTTTACAGGCCACCAGTAAGGTTAGAGAGTTTTCAGTTATGTATGTGTGTTTACTTTGTAATCAGCTGAATAGCAGAGTAGTTAAGTTGCCTGCTCTGCATGCAAGGTTCTGCAAGGTCCGACTCCCCACTTGTGAGCACACCAGTGCGCTAATATGAGGCATGCTACATCCCCAGTCTCATTATGTCACTCTAGCACTGCACGTGTAATGTAATTTGATATGTTCTGTTGCCGCAACTGCTAACACTGAGTGCGTTTACATGCACCTAATAATCTGATAACTGCAAAAAATCATATTTTGTCAGTAATCTGATCAACGCATTTATATTCTCCTGGGTAGTCAGATATTGGGGAAACTCTGGTTCTGCATGAGTCAGACAGTAATCAGATTTCTGCTACGCAATCAGCCAATAAACTAAACAAAAGATAAACTCATGCCACAGCTTAGAAAGAAATTGCGCCACTTTACCTGAAAATATGTACCTACATCATCTAGAGAATGAAGAATATTTAAATTGTTCATTTCATCAAGCACGTAGTTGGTTTCAGTGTTGCTCTAAAAGTGTTTCGTTGCTTGCTTATTTCCAGTGCTGCGGTCTGTTTTGCACATGTGCAGACTGAGAAATCCGAAAGAAATCAGAGTAAGAGTTTACATGCACCGAGAAATCTGATTACTGAGGTAATATCCAGCTCTCTTTATTGGATTTCTTAATCGGATTTCTAGACCATACTTCAGTCTAAGAAATCGGAGTATGCTGTTTACATGACAATTTAAATAATTAGATAACTGCAGAAATCTGATTATGATAGGACTATTGTAACAATCTGATTAATCTGATTAATCATGCAGACTCAGACGTTGTTTATCACAAAAATGGGAACATGTCATCATACTGAGTGAAACCTCGTAAGTAGCCTTACATTTACCCATTGTTTTTAACACTTGACTCCGCTGTGAGCCGAGTGTAGCCTTTTGCCTTAATGAGGTCAGCCATGCACATGACTACTTATCTACTCAATGTCATCGCCATCTGAAATTCTCCCAAGCTGTTGCAAGACACACACACACACACACACACACACACACACACACACACCTGCTGAAGCACCCTGTTGGAGAACAAGTGTTGCATTGGCGAGAGGCTCTCAGGAGACAAGCTAGGACATTATTTACGGGCTAAACACTTCAGCATGAGGCCGAAATATATAAAGTTGATATACTGAGTCTCAGCATGCAGGCCGTGTTCCAGACATACCCCGAACTCATCTCAGCTGAGAACACAAACACACAGCTAAAAGATTAAGCTCTGTGCACATGAAATGACAGCTTCTTGTTTTTTTTATTTTTTCCAAACCCACTGCCATGTGATTGTAACAGGAGTAAGTTGTGTTTCTACAGGCAATTTTGCAATAATACTGCCTTTCAGCACAAGAAGTAGTTCAGCTTAGCATGCTAATCAGCTGGAGTCAAGTAACATGATTTACTTCATAGCTGTAAAAAGTGAGAGGTTTCATTTTTCAGTGTTGTGGATGATTTTGCAATAATACAGACCTCTATAAACAAAAAGAAATCTAACTCATAATGATAATCAGCAGGAATCAATTTGATTTACTTTATTACTTAAGTAATGTTTTTTTTTGTAGATAATTTTGCAGTAATATAACCTCTATAAACAAAAGGAAGCCTAGCTTGTCATGATAATTAGGCAACATGATTATAACATACTGCCAAGAAAAGCGTTATTTATTTATTGTGTGGATCATTTAGCCTTTTTTTTAAGTTTTTTATGAGTCCAGTCGTCTCATCTTTAATTCCTTCCCTACACACTCCTGAATTTCAGCTATTTCTTATGTCAGTAAACCAGCTTGCAGCGACTGAAGGAACCACAGCGGATTTTTGTGGCCGAACATTACGAAATATTTTCAGAACTCTCTTGAAATAGGACTAAATTTTTTGGCTTGTCTGTATATGAGGTGTGAGATTTGGCTGGAGCGCCGAGTGCTGAGCGAGGGACATGATCAGTATGTGGAGGGAGTTTTATGTGCAAGTTATGTAGGCTCTGCTCAGAGATCCAGTCTCTAGGGCCAGAAACTGCCCAGACCCATGGCCTACATGTGGCTGTGCTTGGCGTCCAATATCGTCTATGGGAGAAAAAAAGAAACCCTGACATTGTTTTACTTAATCCAGCTGTTATAAAACATGTCCTTTTAATATGAGAGCTCTTAGCTATGTGTGGGTTGTAAATATGATTACATCTTTCTTGGGCAATATTGCAGTTTTTCCTTTGCTTCACATATTATAGAGTCAGCTAGACATTTGTCTGACTGACGGGGTGCTGATAGACAGGGAGGCTGAAGGCCAAAAAGACAGACAGATAAACATCCGAACAGACGGACGTCCCAAACTCTTTTCCTGAACACTGTCATTTGTTATTCTATCACCAATTTTGCTCTTCTTAACAAATTAACAGCCATGGCCTCATGATACAGTGAACTTCTCAGACAATATACTCACAGGATTTGTTAGAACCAAAGGGCCCTTGGGGTTGTCTTAGGTTCAGTTTGAGCAACAGTGCCCCAGACCGGTTTAAAGAAATAGTTTGGCATAAAAAATTCAGAGGATTTTTTTCTTACCCCAAATATGATTGGTCAACGAAGACATGTTTGGTGTCCCGAGTTTGGTTGTTTAGTTGTGCACTGGAGCTACAAGGCTAATGTAGCTAATAAGGATGTAACGATTTCCATACAGTAGTGGCAAATCAGATTTGAATCAGTGTATCGAAATGCAAAGCTGTATCACCCCTCACTCTCTTCTGAACAGCTATCATTTGCCAGCCTTAAGGGAAACCACTGTCAAAGCCAAGCATCTGGGTGCAACCTACTAGAGGAAAATGAGTGTGAATTGGGTGGGGCATATGCTATGGACACACCATTCAAATCACTGGGCTTTCTTTTGAAGAGCTTAGAAATTCTAGGAATTTCTTCCATTTTCTTAGAAGGTGTATCAGCAGAATAAAGACATTTTAATGCACAAAATGAAAACTGGAATCAAATCTTGACCTCAGAAAATGAACATACACTGATAAGCCGAAACATCAAGACCAGTCACAATTGAAGCAAATCCTGTTTCATTATCTCGTAACAATGGCAAGGGAACAAAGTTTGGAATATATTAGATGGTAAACGATAAGTCAGTTCTCCTATTCAATGTGTTGGACGTGGGAGAAATGAGCATCCTTATGGCCAAATGGCTGGGTCAGAGTGTCTCAGAAAGGCTTGTGCTTCTGGTCAGCAGTGGTGACTAACTACATTAGACCGAGGAGGGACAAACCCCCAAACAGCGACAGGGTGTTGGGCGCTCAAGGCTCATCAATGCGAGAGGGCAAATAAAAAGCAATGCTGTCTGGTCCAAACCGACAGAAGGGCTCACGTGGCACAAGTCACAGAAATTTTTAATGGTAATCATTCCGGTATGAATGTATCACAACACACAGTGCACCCTGCTGCGTATGGGGCTGCTTTGCCACAGACCAGTCAGAGTGCCCATGCTAACCCCGGTCCACTGTTGAAAGTGTCTAAAATGGGCACACCAGAGTCAGAACTGGACCTTGGAGCAAAGGAAGAAGGTCACCTTGTTCATTGAGTCCCAGTTTCTTTCACATCGCATGGATGGCCAGGTATGTGGGCAGCATTTACCTGTGGAAGTTTTGGCACCCAGTGCAGTGTTCTCTTCTGAAACCCTGGGTACAGGCATTCATGTGGACATCAGTTTGACCCGTGATACCTACCTAAACATTGTTACGGACCATGCACACCCTTTCATGGCAATGTTAATCCCCAACGGCAGGATAATGCACCCTGCCACACTGCACACATTGTTCAGAAATGGAAAAGAACATGAAGAGTTCAAGGTGTTGCTCTGGCCTCCAAATTTCCCAGACCTCAATCTGATCGAGCATCTGGAACAAGAAGTCTGCTCTGCGGTAGCTCCATCTCACAACTTACAGGACTTAAAGGATCTGCTGCTAACGTCTTGGTGCCAGATACTACAGAGCACCACAGAGTCCACGCCTCGGCAGGTCAGAGCTGTTTTGGCGGCATGGACGAAGAGCATGTTTGGTTGGTGGTCGTAATGGTTTGACTTATCGGTATATGTGTAACATTTCTAGTAGCTTACAAGTAACAAAAGTCCATACCCGATAAATTAGCATCATCCACCAGCAATCATATGTAAATGGCATGACTGCTAGCAATATCTATTTTGTTTGTGTCCGTGGCTGCTGCCGACTTAAAGTCAAATGTATTTGAAGTTTCTTGGTGGTTTGAGATGCTCTCAAGCTTAAAACTACCCCATTTTAAACCGGAGTGATGCAGCTCGAATAGGAAACATGAACTGCTCCCAAACAACATTGTGTAAGAGATACTGAGAGCATTGTCAGTCCACAATGTGTAAATGTCTTTATTAACATTCAGATCAGTATAAACGTTTTCCACTTATAAACCATTATTTGCAGTCTATTCCCCACTATCACGTGATTTTGTTTACTTAAAGGTCCCACATCTACATTTTCCTTGTATTTTATTTTTTCCCTGGTGTCCATTTATAATGTTTGTGGGGGTTTATATGCAAAGTTTTTACCAGTCAAACACTGGTATTTACCGGCTGTCGTAAACTCTGTTCACCCACCCCCAGGAACAAGGGGGTAATTTGAGATGCATCCAGTCTTCACACAATTTCAGTCATTTCTTGTCTATAGTGCTACAGACAAGTCTGGTCTAGTGCACTAACACCAGTTCTCTTCTCACAGCTCCATGACAAGCTGCAGAGGTTTGGGGCTCAGCGGCCGGCTCCGTTCCAGGACAACGCTGAGGATCTGGCCCGGGAGGTGAGTACTCTCCAGAGGAAAGTCATGGTGTTTGTCCCCTGGTCAATATGAGCTGCAGGAAGAGAGACAGAGCACCAGGAGCTGGTTGCAGTTTCACTGCTGAGGCCTCCTGCCTTTGGCTGTGCTGTCAGTGTGAGGTATATTGAGAAGGAGCACCAGTCAGGACGAAAGAATAACAGTAAGACACAGTGTTACACATGTACACACACTCACTCACTCAATCACTCACACATTAAACACACATATTGTACACAATGGTCTCAGTCTCCTGATTGCTATAGTGGTTTGGCAAGTCTATTTCAGAACTGGAGTAGGACCAAGCCTGCTCAGAAGTCCATCAGCACACCACTGTATTAGGTCCTTCTTTTGACTGGACTACACTGAAGCAGTACAGGATGTTACATACATTATAGAGCTCCTAATCTTTTCACCAATAAATGTACAAGGTACAAAATCCTCTGATGAACTTTGCATATCTGTTCTTGTCTCAGTTTTTGTCCCTCAGGGGATATCAAAAGAACCTGAGATATTACTAGATATGAAACTTGACTATGAATGCACTAATAATTTGTCTCATCGGTGAATCTTGCAAAAACCATTATCCCCTCAGCGGGCTCCAGCTGGTATCGGTTCAAATCTTCAGTGATTGTTGAAACAGAAGATTATCTCTCGACCGCGATCGCTCACCGTATTTCATTAAAGCGAGCGGCAGTTTTCAAGCGATATCGCTTTCCATCTTCCCCGCTGAGCGAAAGCAAGGGGGACATTTTGGAGCACTGAGCTGCTAAAAGCATTTTCCTTACATCGCGGCTCCGTGTAACGTTTCAGTTGTGGCCATTTAATGTATGTTTAATGTCAGGTCCGGTGGCATTCGGAACCGCTCTGAGGTTGGCTAAGCTGCGGCAGAGACTGCTTTTTCTCTGGGACTGTCAGGCTTATGGCTTTTTGACCTACAATGCAAACACTGGCATTAAACTCACACTAGTAACCAGGCTCGGACTGGATTAAAACAGCCAATGCAAACATAAATGAGTCTAATTCATGGTACCTAGAGGACAAAGAAAGAAAAAGTGGAACTGGGCTGGCAGTAAAAAAAACAATTAGACTGCAATGATTTCTTTATAGGCTGTGCAGACTGCTTATATGGTGCAGTAAAGAAAGCTCATAAGTGAGTGGCACACAGTTAATGTCCCTAACCTCACAGTATTGCTGTCTTTTCTTGCAGTTAACCAAGGAGCTGCGTACTTTAGTGGCTCGACCAGAGATTGTCGAGTTGCTGCATGTGCTTACCAAACCCCATGTTCAGGTAAGGAGTGTGTCAAGGTGTGTGATGGTTGTTGTGTTAGTGAATTGAACATAAATCCACATTTACACTCAATACATAGTGCTGAATATTAACTGAATGATACTGGGGAAAGGAGTATGAAGAGGGGTATGAAGCCCTTCAACACTGGGCTTCGATTTAGTGGAACTACCTTCTTTGGAGTCCTGGAGCACCATCCAGTACCTTTGGGATGAGCTGGAGTGGCGTTTGTGATCCAGATCAAATCATCCATCATCACTGTCTGATCTCACTAATGCTCTTGTGGCTGAATTCTCACGGCAGTGTTCCAGCATGTAGATTAGAAACTTACCAGAAGAGCAAAGGCTGTTACTGCAGAAAGTATAGACAAACTCCCTATTAATACCCTTGATTCCAGAGGTAATTTGGGATGAACACGTGTCTACAAACTTTTGGACATATAGTGTACGTTCCAGTACATTAGTAAACCTTTAGTATGATGTGATTGAGGATGGGTCTGCAATATTTTTGACAAATATTGTTTGTGTTCCTTGGATTATGTGAATGCCTTCATTTGTCCCAGTGTCCAGAAAACATCGTAATTGCAGGGTTCCCAAATGTCCTGGAAAACCTTTAAAACCTAGAAATGTATAGACTAGTTTTCCAGTCACAGAAAACACCTGGGAAATAAGGAAATTAGTAAAATTTCTTTGAAATAAGTCAAGTCCTGGAAAAGTGTGAAGTTAAACCACTGAGATTTCATATGTTAGCATATCGCTGTTGTCAGAAGAAAACCTTGTCTCCAAAATGGTAACTTTACAGGAGAAGGAAAAAACCTACTTTACTTTTAATGTAAGTCAATGGAACCAGACTTTTTTTCCAAGTCATTTTGGGCTGTTTCTGTTGGTCCATTCATCCTGAAATTTACACACAATGTATAGGGCAACAGGCATTTTCAGATTACATCAAAAACTGAAAAACGACAAAAATGGAGATATGAGGTTTTCTTCCGACAGCAGCGATATGTTTAACTGCTAATGGCAAGTATGAGTGTGTTTATACATATTGTGGTTTGAAATGCTACAGTGTCACATGTGGACGGATACATAGACACTGTGTTGAGACGCCTGGTAGAGCAGGGTTACATTAACACGTCAGCTTCTTGCAGCTTGTAACATTCACTTCTAATAATTTAGTAGGATTTGTGATAAAATGATGATTCGTTGATGAACGGCTTGTGTGATTGTGTGTCAGTATATCACCCAATAGATTGTGTATGTATGTATGTCTGTCTGTCTGTCTGCCCTGCGATGAACTGGCGACCTGTCCAGGGTGTATCCTGCCTTCCGCCCAATGACAACTGGGATAGGCTCCAGCACCCCACCATGACCCAGAAGGATAAGCGGTTTAGATGATGTGTGTGTGTGTGTGTGTGTCTGTGTGTATCACCCAATAAGGGTTGTTAGGGGTTGTATTATTGATTTGGGCAGTTGCGTGTCTTTTTAAGATGACCTTTAGTGAGCAGCAGCTGTCTTGTATATTAGTAGATATAATGGAAATTCTCCTGGAAAAGTAGTGGAAAATTATTTGCTAAAAAGACTGGGAAACCTCGATTGGACAGAAAGGTCAGAGCACACAATGATGCATCTTGTAATTAGTTAGGGGCTCATACTCATAGCGCACACTTCTGTGATATCAGTATTGCAAAGGTTGTAATATAGTCCTACTGAATATGCTTAATGCACAATGTACTCAGTACACAGTGGCTGTGTGTGTCCCGCTCGGAAACCCAGACATACCACAAAAAAGCATAATAGTCGATTCCTTATTTGGTAGTACTTCTGTAGTAAGCAGACAGATTCTTGGGGTGAAAATCAACCTTAAGTCTAATGTGCTTTTCCATCTGCCACTTCCTGGAGACAACACAAATAGTCTCTCAGTAAGCATCATTAGCATGGCTAAGCTAACCATGCTCTCATGCATGCCAATCGATACATCATAGAAACTGGGACTCCTTGTTCTGGACAAGCAAAAACTCTACCTGTATTTCTGTTAAAAGACATTTGCAGACATTTTGTGGATGAGAGCTTTAGCAGTGACAACTTTATTCTTTGACAGGTTTAACTAAACGTTGGTTCTTGGATCTTTTGTTTTGTTCTCACATTTTATGAGCCAGTGCTTCACCAAAGTAAAGTATGTGCAGGAAAGAAGTTTTATCAAGCCAAGTTCAGCAGCCACTTAGAAAAGAAAAGGAATATCAATGGCATGGAGATACTGGATATGTACTGGGTTGCAGTGTATTAACAGCATATAGTAGCTCCTTTTGACATTTTATAATAATAATAATAATAATAAGAAGAAGAAGAAGAAGAAGAATGTGTAATTTATATAGTGGAATGAAAAAATTGATAGATAAGTAAATAAATAAATCAATAAATAAATAAATACCTCAGTACCGAGTTCCCTGTAGAACTGCTGTGGAATGTCTCAGCACATCCAAACATCTATTAGCATAGGAACTGAAGTTTTTTAGGTGCTGTTCTTCTATTTATGGGTCCTTATGGTCTAAAATAAAATGCTAAAGCCCCAAACTGAGAGGTCTGAACAACAGCAGAGCAGCCCTTGTGCTAAACCAGCAGAACATGATGAAATGAATCCTTAAAAAAGGAGAAACTAGATGTTAATGATTGATATACTTAAGTAGATATATCATTTGAAAATACTCATAAGATGTTCATCAAAATTGTACTTAAATACATGTAACTCCATAAAATCCACTAGTTACTACCCACCTTTGACAACAACTACTTATAAGTAATAATAATAATAATAATAATAATAATAATAATCTTCTGCTTGAAAACTAGATTTAAGCTTGTTTCACTTCTCTTTCAGAACCTTCTCTCAGTGCATGATACTGTGGCCAAGAAAGATTATGACCCCAAACTTCCTCCACTGCCACCTCTGCCTGCTGATGATGGGGAGGATGAGGAAGACTCTGTCAGGATTATCCATCTGGTCAAAAGCAAAGAGCCACTGGTCAGTCTCTTTGGGGCAGTGAGAATACCTGGACATTCCTCTTTCTTCCCCGTTTCCCTTTATTGTTCTGGTCACTAAATAACCACTAGGTTGTATGAAATTTGTATCCATTGATCAGCCATAACACAACTCTTTGTTTCTGCACTCATTGTCCATTTTATCAGCTCCACTTGCCATATAGGTGCACTTTGATGGACTACAGGTACAGACTGTAGTTGTTCTGCATACTTTGTTAGCCCCCTTTTTACCTCATTTTTTAATGGTCAGGATCCTCACAGGACCTCCACATAGCAGGTATTATTTGGGTGGTGGATCATTCTCAGCACTGCAGTGACACTGATGTGGTGGTGGTGTGTTAGTATGTGTTGCGCTGGTCTGAGTGGATCAGACACAGCAGTGCTGCTGGAGTTTTTAAACACCTCACTGTCACTGCTGGACCGAGAATAGTCCACCAACCAAAAATATCCAGCCAACAGCGTCCTGTGGGCAGCGTCCTGTGACCACTGATGAAGGACTAGAGGATGACTAACACAAAATGTGCAGGCACAGATGAGCTGTCATCTCAGACTTTATCTCTACAAGGTGGACAAACAAGGTCGGAGTGACTAATAGAGTGGACAGTGAGTGGACATAGTGTTTTAAAACTCCAACACAACAATAACACACCACCACCATGTTAGTGCCACCGCAGTGCTGAGAATGGTCCACCACCCAAATAGTACCTGCTCTGTGGTGATCCTGTGGGGGTCCTGAACATAAAGAACAGGGTGAAAGGGAGCTAACAAAGTATGCAGAGAAACAGATGGACTACAGTCTGTAACTGTAGAACTACAAAGTGCACCTATATTATGAGTGGAACTGATAAAATGGACAATGAGTGTAGAAACAAGGATAAGGTTTTAATGTTATGGCCAATTGGTGGATATGCCATTTATTTAACTCCATTACAGTATTAAATACTTAAAAAATCTGCGTTGATGTGTATTGGGGTGATCCAGAACTGATCATCCAACATCAGTACCTGACCTCACTAAGCCTCTTATGGTAGAATGCAATCAAATCCTCACAGCAATGTTCCAACATCTAGTTTAAAGCCTTTCTAGAGAGGGATAAAGGCTGTTACTACAACAAAGGAGAACAGACTCCCTATGAATACCTTTGATTTTGGAAGAAATGTTGGATGAGCAGAGAACATCAAATGTTTTCGGTAACACTTTCTATAAATGTCACCTTTGTAAGCATCTATAAACACATTCATAACATGTTATAATGCATTCATAAGACATTATAAACATAGCTATAAATATTTATAAAAATGCATTATATGTTATAGCCATGTTTATTATGCATTATGAATTGTTAACATAATGCATTATAAGTACTGATCATAACAAGTTATAAGAGCTCATAAGTCATATTTGTGCACTCTAAGTAAAGTGAAGCGTACTGTACTAAAGCCTCCTCCAGTGTTAAGAGTGAGGCTTCAAGCTGAAGTATTTACTGAAGGATTTACTGAAACACTAAAACATACATAATAAAGCACATTACAGGCTTCAAATGTCAGAGTTTAAACTAGAGCTGCCATCAGTGTTTTACCCAATGTGGGAAAGTCAATGTACACCACCGTTAGCTTGGTATTTGTCTTTACTTTACGCTCTCCAAGCTGGGACTGACTTCTTTGGCACTGAAATCATAACATGTTATTAACACTATTTATAATGCACTATATTAACAATTCATAATGTATAATAAACATGGCTATAAAGTGTAATTCAGTATAAATATTTATAACCACGTTTATAGTGCCTTATGAATACATTATAACATGTCATAAATGTGTTTATAGATGCTTACAAATGTGACATTCAGAGAAAGTGTTACCATGTTTTCTAATAACATTTGGACGTATAGTGTATTTCTGAGAAACCCTCATTAATTATCCCTGTATATATACTTTTAAATACCCCAACAAAACTGTTTCCATCCTCATTTACACAAGATTAGCTTAATAGCAATAAAGTCAAATAGGTTAGACTTTGAAGCCATCAGCTGACCATATCTAATATGCCCCTGTAGGAATTGCTTTGAAGGACGCTGAAACGATATGTGTGGTTAAAATGAGTGGTTCAAGCGATACAGGACATTTTATAAGGGAGATTTTGATTGTAATCATCAGAATATTATGAAGCCACACAGATGGATGCAGGCTATAATAATGGGGAAGATCAGAAAGGAGCCTGGACCGCCCCTTCCCTCTGCAGAACCTCAACAATCACTTTTTCCATCTCCCCAAAGCACCATCTGCATTTAGGCTACATTAGTGTATCCTAGATATAGCACTTAGTGTACACATAGAGAACATTATACAGCACTCTGGAACGACCAAGAGCACAAGTTTAACACACACACTTCACAACAACCTTTATCCTTTTATTGCCGGTGATCTTTTTTCTTACTGACGCATGACGTGGCACCCATCCCAATCATGATGCGTAACTAATAAAATGTTGTTTTTTAAAAAATATTGTTACCTCTTCCACATCATCTAACATCTGGCGAGTAACATCGGAGGGAGCTTGTCATATATGAATGGAGCTTTTTATGAATTCCAGAGTCAGAATGGAAAGTTTATCATCACTTCACAAAGACTCCCAGTGTGCCATCTACATGCTCGACTGGGTGTTTTTCTTTCCTCCTTGTTTCTGCCACGACTGGGATTGGAATGGAGGACAATCAGATAAATCATTAGAGAGGCATCACTTAATTCATCAGAGAATAACGTGTACATGCAATAAGTCATGAAGCAGTCATATAAAAATGCGCCAGACGTCTAAGTTAGTAACAGTCAAGTGAAATAGTGGATGGCCTATTTTGGGCTGTTCGAGCGAGTCAGAAATAAAAAAACAATTTGATAGAGAAAACACAGAACTCAGAATGAGATATGTACCATGTGTCATTGTGAATGAAAGAATTTAACATGTTTTTCTTTCCAACACATTTTACTATATGCAGTTCACACTGAAAAAAAGAGACTTGAGTTTCATTGTCTGGATAAAAACTATAGCATAATAGAAACCTCTTAACTATCTGTCCATCTTTGTAGAGCTGTTAAGTAGATAAAATATAACATACAGCCAGTACTCTGTCATCCACTCAGTAGCATTTTGACAATATGATACCAACAAATATGGTTCCACTTCTCACCACCAGCTTTCGACTGTGCCTCTTGGGTCTCTAATAACCGCCAGGAACGATTATGTGTTAAAAAAAAAAAGAAGGCTGCAGAAGACTGTTGCCTGTCAGACCCCGTGTGTACATATGGACTCCATCAGATCTGCTCATGCAGACGCTGGGTCATCTTACTGATGATGAGTAATTGGACGGCCGTGGGGATATAAAGCCCCTCCTTCCACTCTGATTGTTCACCCTCCAAGCATGTCATTTTCAGAGAGGCTTCATCCAGTCAGCGCCTATTTTCTGCACACCATGGCAAGCCGGCAGTAAACAGTGGGCCTCTGCTTTGCCCTCTGCGTTTAACCATACCTTATGTATCACTGACGGTACATTCAAAAACTTTGTCGATGCACCCTTTAACTCAGTAAAAGCTGTCCCCGGGGAAGTCCGGCTGCATGCTTGTCTACGTTGTCAGTAGTAAAATGGATCAGCATGTGGAACTGGAACTTTCTGTGTGCTGTGTTTCTGAGTAAGCACGCACACACATTCAGAATGCAATTCAGGAACATTCAGAATGCAGTTCAGGGTTCAAGGATTGAAGGACTGTTATTGATTTGTCTAGACCAAGAATAAAAGGTGACTCAAGTGTGAAGTACAGTGCCATGCAAAATTCAGAGACCACCCTTTCATTTATTTGATTTCAGTCAAAACCGTGCCACCAACACTAAGTATTTGCATTTGAATGCCAAAACTAAGCATCTGAGACGTTGTGGTTTGCATTGATGAGTCTGAGGCCCAATCCCAGTTCTTATTTTTACCCTTACGCCTTGTTTTCGAGTGGTCGCTTGGAACTGAGTTACAAGGGGTAGTGGTTGAAATCCTCCCCTACAAAATGGGACAACCCTCAAGTAAAAAAAAGAATATGCTCTGTAGGGGTAATAAATAATTGTTACCCCCCATGCTCTTTGAAAGCATATAATGCCTTAAATTTAACTAAAGACCAGAAGCAAGGTTGCTGAACCCCTAATTCTTTGGTGATGTGAAGCTGAAGTCACCTATTCGCCAGCTTCTCATTCAAATTTCCCCGTTCCAGGAGCAGCAGTTATACTCTGGCACTTCAGGCGTCAGTATTGCCAGACTATTTAAGGTGGAACGGCAAATTTAGTTAGCTAGCTACCAAGACATCAGCATACTGAGTGTGCCTCTAAAAAACCTCAGAGGGCCATGTAGCCTTAAGACTTCATGCTACCTCTCTGTCTCAACAAAAATCAGGACACCCTACCAATAGAAGTCAACATGCATAATGGAAGGCTAAGGGCTACGTGGTACGGGCAAGAGGTGAAATTGGATTGGGCCTAAATCTGCAGTTAGGATAACCTGGATGTTGACAAGCAGAAAATGCAACCAACTTCTAAGACTGAACTTTGAAGGTGTGGAAAAAAATCCCTGCAGATTTCTTTGTAAAACTGAAAGCAGGTCTCGAAAAAGAATGGAAGCTGTAATAAAGACAGAGTAGACATACTAAATACTGTAAAAAGTGTACAGTGCTGCTTTAAAGTTTGTGAAACCCCATATTCTATATTTCTGTAGAAATTTAATGTAATACTGGATCATTTTCCTCAATAAATAAATGAAACTTTGGTCTCATTTGTTTAAATTTGCTCTCTTTATCTACTTTTAGGACTTGCAGAAAGTCCTATGCAGAATATAGAACATTCTAAAGGTTTCACAAACTTTCAAGCACCACTGTATTATACTTAGTTATTGAGTCTTATGTATACGTTTCTGTTAAATATATATCTTCTACTTTTTTACCCTGAAAAATTAATAACTTGTTCTTAATGGTCATTTGACTGGATTAAATGAATAAAAGGGAGGTCTCTGACTTTTGCACAGTACTGTATATTTCTATGCATATGTTATTTTGCTTTATAAGTGAAATTGTGACACACAAAAAAATCTAGTTTTTAGAGTTTTGAGAACTAGAAATTTGACCTCTACTTTACATATCAGAATAAAAGTGACAGCATTGAGATTTCATGTTATTAAAAGAGGAGAGTAAAGATCTGTGCTTTTTTGCCTCTAGATTAAAGAGTTAAAAGACAGCACCTCTCATGATGAGGCACCAGAAGCCTCTCCAAAAGAAGAGATTATTTTGCACTCCTCATTGGGGCTCTGGGACCTATGATTAGAAACTGGTGGCCATTCTGGTCACTCCTGTGGTCAGAGAACCTCTCTAGGTCCTCTTTCCCTCTAGAATCAGCACTCCAATGCTGCCTGGTTGGGTTGACCACCAGTTTCCCTTATTGTTTGCCATTCAGCTGCCTTGCTGGAGGCCGTGTGGGCCATGAGGCCATGGAAGGAGATTTTCTGAGAGGCCCTTTACTGCCTGAATGGCTGACTTTCCACACAGTTTGGACAGGAGTTTATTTTAGGAGCTTGCCTAGTTGTTGACATGTGTTTGAGGGCTTAACCTAAACAATTGTGGTTTAGGAGGCCATGTTCATCACGGTGGGCCCATTGGCAGTGCTGGGAGTAGAAGTGCGCAGGATACAAGGTTTCTTACATAGACGTGTTGTGAGGGGCTTTTTCTTAAGTAGGTGTGAGGTGAAATGATATGAGATCATGCTAATTGATGTGGAATTGAGGCAAAACACTGTAATGCATTTTATTAATCAAGGCCAAATAAAAGCTCAAGGTATGGACTGAATGAACATGAAAGATTCATCATCTTGGGTGCTGATTTTCTTCTAATGTGGCTTAAAAGACATGAATCAAATGTTGGACATGTAATGTCAACAAACTGAGGGATTTTAACAACAGTTTCCTTGTCTGCATTTGAACTCATTCCCTCATTAAGTACACGTTTTCCTCTGGTTCAGCTCTGTATTTAGCCTTCTATTCCTGCCGTATAAACTTTAGATAAACAGAAACTTGTGACAATGTTCACACTTATGTTGTTAGTATACCCTTTTATGGACTTTTAATACAGAATATGATTTAACTGTTTAATACTGAGGCAAAAATGGGGGAATTTCTACTCTGTTTTATTTATTTCAGCTTAATTTCTCAGTACTGTTGTCATATTTTTTTTCATACAGAGGGAACACAATCTAACAAAGTGGAAAATTTGTATATTATTATTTTATGTGGGTCACAAAGCACCATTTTGAGTAAGCACACACATGAATAGGAATATGCTTCAAACGTCAGTGGGCTTTTATTACTTTGAAGAAACAAATCAATAATAAGCATTTATGTATCAATGTGTGTGCACACTTGGTTAGAAACTATCACCGTATGTACAACAGTAAAGGCATGGAGCTTCTTTTATATAGTGATAGAAAACATGGCAGCACAAAGACAAAGGCAAAGTCTCTGAATGTATTCCCAGCAAGGCTAGATGCTCTTGACTTAATATGTGAGTAAATATGTCGTAAGTGATGCTGTGTGGACAGTGTTGAGTTAGTTTGACGTATTACGAACTTGGAGCTTTTCATCTTAAGTTTTATTTTTATTTTTATTTTATCATCTTAACCCTTTTGTTTATTTTCCTTTGTTGTTGAAGCTGCTGCAGAACAGTGACAGTGCTCCATTTCTCTTTGAGCATTAATAGAACACCACTAGTCATTTGTCTTTTGTATGAGTGATGTAGTTCAGGGGTCGGCAACCCAAATGTGAAGAAGAGCCATTTTGTCCTTTCATCAAAAATCAATCCAGCTTGGGAGCCACAACATTTTCCGTCCGTTTCACCATCTTGGCTGTAAATATGTCTCAGTATGTGCCGATGTACTAGACTAGTATCGGCTAAAAAATATGATCAAAAATGCAGACTCACTTTAAGCTTTAAGCTTTACCTCAGCTGTAGCTGCTTTTCTCGCATCTCTGGCAGGAAACTTTTCCACAAAAGTAAAATAGTTTCTTGTAAAATGTCTCTCAATTCGATTTTTACTAGTCACTTCTCATTCACCAGCTTCTTGTTCTAATTTTCAAGTTCCACCTTAAATGGTGCCTGAGGTGCCAGAATGTAACTGCTGCACCATTTAAGGTGGAACAGGAGCAAAAAGCTGGCAAACAAGAAACTGACTTCAACTTTGCTACTTTTTAGTGTTTGACAGTTTCTTGTTGCGGGTTAGACGTATCAGGACACCAGCTGGAGAGCTTATAAATATAAATAAATCTATTTGTCTCCAAATTTTTGATGTTCATCTTATATCCTTTCTTTGTCTTTTCGTTAGCTACTAGCAAGGCGAGACCTGTTGTCTACGTTGCTATGGTGATGAGCAGTCTGCATGCCAACCTTCAGGATTAAAGTTTAAATTAGCAGTTCTACATTAACTCCAGCATTTAACAGCATTTATTTTTAAAACTATGTTAGACAAATCAGCAGACTTTATTTTTACTGCAAAGGAGGATTATTTTATTTTTACCTAAAAATCTAATTCTGCTTTGGAGCTGCAACAGGGCAGTGAAAGAGCTACATGTGGCTCCAGAGCTGCATGTTGCCAACCACCAATGTAGTTAAACAACACATTCTGTGGAATAGTAGCATCAGTGATAGTTATAAGTACCTCATAACTCCGTGTAAAATCATTTCTTGCACTCCGCTCATTCTGTGTTGTAGGGAGCCACCATCAAAAAGGATGGGTCATCTGGTGCCATTGTGGTAGCCCGGATTATGAGAGGAGGAGCTGCGGACAGAAGTGGTGAGCAGTAGCATATCCTATGCACTTCACATGTCTCGGTGTAAAGGTAGTCTTCAAGTGTGCTGTGTTTATTATACTGAATGCTTTGGTTTAATTACCTTTTTAAAAAAAAGAATTTAAGTTATCGTGAAATCTTAATTTTGGTATGACTTTTTAACAGCAAATAAACAAATGTGAGTGGAGAAACTTACTTGCACAACAGTACAGATGATAATTCTGTGAGATTTTTTTCCATTTGAGATTTCATTTTGGCCTAAACATGATTTTACACTTCATATTTTATGTTCAAATCTGACATTCATCAATCAAAATCAATGCACTGCATTTGCACCCCTGCTGAATACAAATACATTTCCATTTGATCTTAGAGAATATCAGCTACATTCTCCTTGGGTCATTGTGTCTCTATGAAGCTCGGCTAGCTTGTGTTCTCATTGAATTAGGTCTTATCCACGAGGGGGACAAGCTCAGGGAGGTCAATGGAGTTCTAGTGGAAGACAAGAGACCAGAGGAGATTGTCCCCATACTGGTACGTGGCTCTTTATTTCACTGTAGGCTATGTGTGTTTGTTTCTGAGCATTTTCCCGTGGCCCACGGCTCTGTTTTCTATTTATTCTCATTTGCGATTCAATCTGATGTTCCAAATCTGTACTTTGTGAGCTTCCATTGGAACAGCTTCTTGCTTTCACATCTTCCAGGCCAAGTCAGATGGGGCAGTAACCTTCAAAGTAATCCCAGGCACCAAAGAGGAGTTGGAAGCTGAAGACACCAAGGTAACACGTGTCCCTTTATCGAAATTCCACTGTTTGTAAAGCACAGCTTTCTATAATTCAGTTTGCACCACCAGATAATCAGGACCAAATGCAGAGGGAAATTTGGTTCAGCATCAAAGGGTGTTTTTGGATTCTTCTAGATTTTTGTCAGGACGCTTTTTGACTACAATCCGAAAGAGGATCCCGCTATTCCGTGTAAGGATGCAGGCTTGGAGTTCAGGAGGGGAGATGTGCTTCAGATTGTAAGCCAGGAAGACGACACTTGGTGGCAGGCCAGAAGGCATGGAGATCCCAACCTTAGGGCTGGACTGATCCCCTCCAAGCAGCTTCAAGAAAGGTGAGGGACCTTACACGCAAATCTGACTGAAGTCCAAGCCTACACTGAAAAAAAATTATGCATTGACTTTACTTGGTTCAAATATGTACATCATTTTCATATATATGAAATATGTGAACATGAACACGAGCTAAAATGCGTCACAAGTAACATCCTGGCTGTTATTGGGATCGTAGACACGAGCTGAGGGCAGATGATCATCACAGCTGTGGTGCTGTTTGCAATTACCTCCAGTTTGTGATTGCTTTTACAACAGTTTTGCAAAGTAAAGCAATGAAGCCTCAAACATTGTTTCAAATATAAAGTACCAACATTAAGTATAGTATTAAATCCATCAGTATTTCATTTGTTCTCTCTTTCCTTTTGAGCACCTTACTGTCACTCTACCTCGTCCATACTTTTAGTCTGCCAACAGGGTACAGTTATCTTCCCAACAAAAGGTGTTCCCAAAGATGTCATTGACATTATGTTCCCTTTCAAACAGACAGCAACATTCACACAAGCAACTACGCAAACGCACCTCAGCTTCCTCACTATTTTTGTGCATCTTAAATAAGTTTCCAAAACAGAAGTTACAGTGAAAATGGGACTCCTAACAACCGTGCAAGACCTGGTAGACCACCAAAACTGCCCCCATCAGGTAAACAGCACTTTCATCTTTGAGAGAGAGGAGAAAATCAAGCTGCTTCAGATCTGAAAACATCCACAGGTGTTTCTGTCCATCCTTCCACTGTGAGAAGACGACTCAGCGCTATGGGTCTGAAAGAAGCCCTCACTGTGAAAAGGAGACGGACACATCAAACAAAGAAGCTGAACAACTGACTGACCACCCCAGAGTCATCACTAAATGTGTTTCGACTGTGAGAAGCAGAAAATGTAACCAGCTTTTAAGACTGAACTTTGGAGGTGTGGAAAAATATCCCTACAGATTTGTCTGAAACACTGAAATGAAGTCTCCTGAAAAGAATAGAAGCTGCACTAAAGGTAAAGAGTGGACACACTAAATGCTGAAAAAATGTATATTATATTTAGCTGTTGAGGCTTATGTGTAATTTTCTGTTAAAATGTTTTCTGCTTTTTTTTGACATTGAAAATGAATAACTTGTTGCGCAGTACTGCATGTTTTAATATTGCCAATTTCCCCAGTAGTATCGAACACAGTGAACAAAAAAGCACAGAGAAAAACGCCTTTCAACCAATCAAATTTTGTGGTCGGGAGCAAACTGATATATTTTATTTATGTAGAAATTCGTGAGTCAAGTAAATTCAGTACATAATTTTCATTTTCTGTGTGATAAAAGCAAACAAAGTAGTGATGCCAACACCACAACAACAGCATTCTCTATTGTCAGGTTCCTGTTCAAACTCAATCAATCAGAGCCAAGCTCAATCGCTGCTCCTCTCATCATACCGTCCAAGGAGATGAGACACGGTCAGTGGCAGACAGGCACAAATGCTCAGTCTATCAGTCAAAAACACATGTCTCATGAGAGCCACAAAGCATCCTCATCCACATTTTAGGAGCCCCATCCATTAGATTCAGACAGGTATGTACTGGCTTCCAAACAATGATGGGAATTTCTCAGGCAGCTGCTCCATTCGCTATTAGTGCATCTGCCCAGATCAAGTAATCACGCAAAATAATGGCACAGGTGCTGATGCACTTTGGACACAGAGTGGATGGAAAATCGTGCGGCGCTCAAAGCCGATGATGTGTATTACAGATTTTAGGTCTAGTAGCAGTTTCTTGGCAGCCTTCTAAGAACCTGGATGCGGAGGTTTTCAGCAGGCTGTGAATTGAGGCCTTTGTGTTTTAGGTTTGGTCGAGAGAAGCGCAGAGTGCACTGCATGGAGAGGGAAGGTCATGGATCTGGCTATGAATGTGACGGTTTCAGATTAGCTCCTGTGTTCTCTCTGCAGGAGAGTCGCTTTGCAGAGGCCCGAAGCTCTCTTCCACCCAGCGAGAGTGCCAAAGCCAAGCGCCGGTAAGCTCATTCATGTGTGATGATGACCAGATTTGTATCACAGGCTACCTAAGGACAATGCATACTGAACAGATAAGAGCAGTGCTGCTTGACAGTGAACAGTACAATGCCCACCAGCAACGATCACTTTCACTGTTCTACTTCATTGCAGCTGAATGATGTGTTATGTTATGAACTGTTATGCAACAGATGTACTTTCTAATTTGGGGCATGAAACATTCTGCACCACCCGTGATGAAGTCAAGTCTGAAGTAGTGGGGTATACTGTGACTGACACGGTTAGCAAGACTAGCCTAGCCAGCGCGTAGCAATCTAACTACAACACTTTAGCTGTATAAATACCTGTAACCTATTAATGTTGGTCCTGAATTGTTTTAAATTTAGTAACAACCTACAAGACTAGTTAAGAAACTACAGTAACATTAGTATCAAAGTGGAATTCCACTGATTTTTAAAAAATTGTACATAATTCACTTATTAAGAAGTAAGCAAAGTCATTCAGAGTGGTTCGATGTGAGATGGTTAATTGTAGTTAAACTTGGTGACTCTGATTTCTTTACAGTGGTGGTGATAGGAACCAGGGGTCACAATGTCTACAACACAAATATAGCCATTTTATTTACTGTCTAAAATGACCAGTGTACCTACGTGGGTCTTCTGGGTTTTTTAAATAAATGGTCTTTTAGTACATTTTTGCGCTGCATGTACCTCTCCACCGTGAAAGGATTTTAAAATGATGTTTAAGGCCAAAACCTCCTATTAATAAATTGCTTAATGAAATAACTTTCTGAGAGGGCCCTTATAGAGGCATTAAACTCTTCAGACGCCTGGTTCCTGTCACTACCACTGTGATCAATTCTGGCTCTGTAAGTTTCTCTAGAACAGACCACTCTGAATGTTACGATTATGGCAAAATTTGGAAAAATTGGTGGAAGTCTCCTTTACCATAACAGGATTGGTTGATCAGTTGGGACCAGGCAAGCATGCTGACCCAAGTATCTCACTCAAGGATTTTCTTGTTGCTGCAGCAGAGCAGAAAAGAGTATTTTTCTTTGAAACTTCGATGTTATGGAGATGTTGAAGTGGTGCTGACCACTTTTTCACTTTCAGTTCTACAGCCAGCCTAATGAGGAGTGAGGCAGAGTTTTATTTCCGTGGCTATTAAGAATTCAGTTTCAGTGGTAATTTGCCACTTTGGACTTAAAACAGTAGTAGTGGCCAAATGTGTGAACACCTCATGCGTTGGGCTTTTTTAAGTGGAGTATAAGAGAATAAGAAAATTTTAGTGATTACCTAGTGGATGTTTGGCTTGTACCTGCATATCACATAGGCTGCCCCTCTGACCCAATGTCTATTTTTCAAAATTAAGAATTCATCCAAAAAAAAAAACATTAAAAAAACATGCATTCTCTTCAGGCTCAAGTGTTCTTCATCATGTTTGAAGACACACAGGCAAAGGACCCAACACTTTGAGAGACTGGAGCGGCTAAGATAGCAAGGGACCGTGGCTGAGAGATGGAGATAGATGGAGATTAATGGAGCGAGTTTGAGCCAGGGCTGTAGAGCGTCTCTCTCTTGAGACGTGAGTGGGACGAACAAACTTGATAGTGCTCAAGGAAGTGCTGTAAATCCCAGTGGCTCTGCTGGACACTTTAAAAAAGTGTTTTACTGTGTGTGAACAACACATCCACCCCGAAAGCCCGGAAAGATCTTTGCTCAAGGTCATAAGGATTGCAGTTCCTTTGCACACACCTCTGTTGATTAGTCTGATGCAAATAGTTGGCAGAAAGTGTTATATATGTACCCTTTTTTCAAAATTGGAATCAGTTGTCTTTAATAATTGGTAATTTATTGAAAAAAAATAATACGGTGTAAATTGAAATATTATTAACCAGGCATGAATTTTTTGGGAATGACGAAAAGCAAATATAGTAATTATGGATGTTATTTATAACTTAATTCTTGGTGCTATTCAGCTTTTCGGTTATTTTAAAACTTCTACAGCAATTTTCATCATTCTGGACACATCTGATATTTCTTAATTTTGGCTGCCTTCAGTGTATTTGAACCCTGTAAGGTGTTACAGTATAAGCATCATTTAAAATAATTCTATTCATGTCAATCAAATTGGTTTCATATATAATGCTGAAAACTGATCCCAGACTTCTTTCTGAACAGTACAGTTCAGGCACTAGAATCAGCTTGTGCTTTCAAAACGGACAACTCTATTTCAGTGGATTAAGTGAATGTTATTGTAGTTTGCCATAAAACGACCAATACAGTTAAAGAGAAGAAAGCAGATGGGTGGATGTGGTCTTATCTGGAATATTCTCATCTCATCTTGAAAAGTCATCTCACATCTGTTCAAAGTGACAGTCAGTCTTATAAAAGCCCATCTGTGCTGGCTGAAGAGAGAGAGTGACAGCTGCCCTGTAAGTCAGGACCTTCTCACCCTGGTGACCGCAGAGGACACAAACACACACCGATTTGTTTTCAAACCCTGTCGAAATTTTAATATTTCAGTTAAAATATCTGTTGAATTTAGTGAAAAAATGCACATTCAAATATAGAAATTGTTAAAATGTTAAAAGCTATCTGCTGTGGCACGCACCACGTTTCTATCATGTAGATGATGGCTACGAAGCACGTGGTAGAACATGGCATAAATAAACAAAGCAACAATAGCAACAATCTGTTTTGGCATTAGTTTAGTTTTAAAATGTTTGGGGTTATATGCAAACATCCGACAGCTCTTCTAAATCTGTCAGTCTGAACAAAGTGATATGTTTACTTTATAAGCTGAATAAAGCTAAAAGGCAGAAACGCGTCTACTGCAGATGGAACATTTTTCTGACCAGCAGATGCTCCAAATGTGGATATGTTGTAGCACAGTAAGCCAGTACTAATGCAGTATTTATAAGGTGAAGTAAGCTGCTAGTTTAACTGCTTCACGAAATGCTGACTAAGTTATATAGCCAGCCACTTGGTTTACAGAGTTTTGTACTACGCTTGGTGCACCTGCACGCTTTCACTGACCACTCTCTTTTAGCTATTAATGCAAACATAAAAAGACTAGAATGGGGGATTTTATGATGTCATTCTTTTTCTAACTACCCCTTACCGACCCTCCCCCACCCCTGTTTGAGAACTTTATGAAACCCATGAGCTTCATTTGCAGCACTTACCTCACTAATGTATCCTACTTATTTTCTTTGCACCTAGAAAAATAATGTATTTAAAATTCTTATATATTTGAATATTTAAAGAAACAACAGTGAAATTTGTATTTAATTTCTGATCCCAAATGACCAAGAGTAGCCAAAAACAATTGATTTTGTTCGTTAAACAAGCACACGTGATGTTATTGGTGGGAAGCACCAAAAACTGGTTGAGTGCTAATAGTGCCCCTTGTGGAGACTCCACTGCCTGCTAAACGTGAGTGAGTGAGTGAGTGAGTTACCTACTTAATTACTTAGTTAGTTAGTTAGTTACAAGTGAGGTCCATGAGGTGCTTCACATCTAAAAATGGAACACTTTTGTAAAATTTTGCTGATCCTAACGAGGGAAGTTTTTCTCTTCTTATCCCACAAAGACAGGACATTTGTACGAAACGAAAACAATCACACACACAGAGACTGAAATCTGGGACAAAACACAAGGTCACAGAAATGCCACCTGTTAAAGCTGAACCTCTGCTTTACCACTTTAACCGCCCCCTAAACAGCACGAACCGCGGTATGCTTTAGAAAACTCCAGGTGAAAACATGTCAAAGATGAATAGAGCTGGCTCCTAGAAAGCTGGTAATTTCCAAAAGCCACTGTTTTTGCTTTGCGCCAGTATGGTGGGTTTGAATGTCGATGGCCTGCTCTCTCTCTGTGACTGTGTCCTTAACTGAGGCCACGCAAACATGGTGTGAGCTTTTGCCTTCTACTATACCCAAGGTTCCCCTTTTTGCGACATAAAAGCATGTTCTTTCTCTTCCAAAATAATTTGGCTTTCTCTACTCTTTCCGTTTTTACGGCACATCCCTCACCAACCCTGCTATCATTACAATGTTTACATCCAAGAGGGCAGCAAAATTAAAGAGCAGCGATGCCCAGAGGTGTCTGGCTATGTTAAGCCAGTCCAGCCACTCTTACGTTCTGTGTCTGTGATGTTCCAAATATAGCCATTAAAAATGCCATCACAGATTATACAGCCAGCCTGATTGATGAGGTGCGTGGCATGTCATGTTTTCCATTTTTTTATGACAGATAGTACTGATGACCGAGTTCAAAGCCATATGAACTCAGTAAATGTTTTATGTATATTGTGTAAGTGTATATTGTGTTTATATCTCTGAAATGGTAACTTCATAAGAGAAGGAAAGTTTTGTTCTTAACTTTAATGTAAATTAATGTAATACGATTTTATTAACCTCTTATTCACCAAGGTATATTTTGGTTTTTCCTTCTGAATTTACGTGACCAAATTATTCAGTAACTGCATGAAATAAATGTTAATTTTTATTTGATTTATTTATTTATTTTTTTGTAAAAGTTCCCCTCAAATTAACAGAACATGTGTTTTATGATCACACATATTGCTATATGCTTACAATTTACTGCTGAAAGCCAAAAATCTTAGACGCTCTTTGTATTATTTTATGAAAATAATTTTTACAGAGCAGATCACTGAAGAGACGCCATCTGTTTATAGTTTACAGCCCAGATTTGTGGAAAAATGGGTCGACTTTCAGTACAATGTGAGTTCAGCTTCTTTTATTATAGGGGTTTAAAATTACATCACCCATCTATTTTACTGGAAAGAAGACAGTTACAGCTCTCATAAGACACCCACCTTTTGAATGTAGCTTATGAAATATGACAGTTATGAAGAATATGACGAAGTGCGTTTTGGAACCACCGGTGGTCTCAAGGAGTTGTAAAGGTTAACCTCATCTTGGACCCTTTTCTTGATCCATTTTTGAAATGTTCACACAATTTGGGGGGCAAGTGGCACTTTCAAGTGGTGTAAAAACAGATGGGAGAAAATTTAGAAGACATTGCTGTGTTTATCATGTACAGTACTGTGTACCCTATTTATTTATTTAATTTCCAGTCAAAACATCCATTAAACATTCATAAGTAAGCTTTTTCAGCGTTAGAAAACCAGTAGAAAACATTTTTTTGTTTAAACAAAAATTACACAAAGGCCTCAACAACTAAATATAAAATTATTTAGTATTTTGTGTGCCCACCTGTTGCATTTATAACAGCTTCCATTCTTTTCAGGAGGCTCGCTTTCAGTTTTTCAAAGAAGTTTTCCGAACTTCCAAAGTTCAGTCTTAGAAGCTGGTTTAGCACTTTTTGTTTCAGTAATTCCCAAACACATTCAGTGATGTTGAGGTCTGGACTCTGGGGTCAACCAGTTCATTGTTCTGAGGACTCCAGTAGCTTCTTTGTTTGATGTGTCTGTCTCCTTTTCTCAGTGAGGTTCTTCTTGACAGCTACACATCCTTTCAGACCCATAGCGCTGAGTCGTCTTCTCACAGTGGAAGGATGGACAGAAACACCTGTGGATGTTTTCAGATCTGAAGCAGCTTGATTTTCTCCTCTCTCTCAAAGATGCAAGCTTTAAGTGCTGTTTATCTGATGGGGGCAGTTTTGGTGGTATATGGGGTCTTGCACAGTTGTTAGGAGTCCTATTTTCTCAGTAGCTTTTAATCATTTTTTGAACTCCAGTTTTGGAAACTCCTATTTTTTTCACTTATTTTTCTCTGACTTTCTCCTTCCTTATGCAAGTGGATTAGCTTCTATCTAATCTCCTCAGAAATATCTCCTGAAAATTAATTCCTTTTTGACTGGAAATTAAAAACTCACACTTTTCACCGTTTTCACTTGCCTTACATGTGTAAAGCTTTTGATAAAGGATTCTCTCTCTCTCTCTCTCTCTCTCTCTCTCTCTCTTGCTTTCTGCCTCACTCTACACCCCCCCTTGCCCTCTCACTCACACTGAACAGACAATGAGGAAGGTAATCTTTTGTCCTTTCTTTGTACCATGGATCATTTGCTCACCTGTAATTTTTCACTATTTCAGGCTTAAAAGTTTATATCGTGAAAAAACAGTAACATAGAAATTTTCCCCCTTTCTCTTTCAACTGTGTAATTAAGGGTTACCTCACTCATATTTATCATTATTTAATTAAAAAGCACTCTTTCTTTTCTTTCTCTGTCCTTCTGTCACATCAGAAGCAGATGCAGACTATGGGGCCATAAGCGGAATACACATAGGTGAGGATTTGTGAAAATATCCACTTATATATTTGTACATTAATCTGCATATACATCTTTAGTTATTTGAGACTTGTTGAACTATTTTGTACTAAATTGCAGTAACAGATCTATTCTATTCAAATCTCATCTGTTAATATAGGCTTTTCTTTGTGACCAGTTATTTTTATTGTGTTTTCAGTAGAGCTGTCAAGTGATTAAATTAATGCTGTTAGTTGCATTATTTTATGTAATTAATTGTGACTAATCAGATCTGTATTATTTGCTCAACCTAAAGGAAAGCAGTGTATGTTGTTATAGCTATATGAGTGAACAAAATAAGCCTCATGAGAATTCAGTAACATAATTTTCATGTAAAGTCCACGATTGTAGACTCTCTACAATCTCTCTGTAGGCTACAATTATGGATTATATCATAGCAACATTCCTCATGCTGCAGCTGATTCCTGCACTGTTACAGATGGTTTGCTGAATTGAGGTAGAAAAATGTGTTAACCGTGTTAAAAGTGGTGTTAATAACTTTGACAGCCCTAATATTCTCACATATAGACTTAGGCCCAATCTCATTTCTTATTTTTACCCCCAGCCCTTGTTTTCAAGTGTCACCTTGCTTCTTGAACCTGAGTTATAAGGGATAGTGGTTGAAATCTTTTCTATGAAATGGGACACTCAAATAAAAAAGAGCATTACTTCATTAACAGCTACTAGCGCTGCTCTGTAGGTGACCCTGCCAGTCTACAGTGACAGCAGAGGAGGGTAAAGTTCAGCAACCTCACTGCTGGGCTTTAGTTATATTTAGGGAATCATATGCCTTCAAAGAGGGGGATGCAACAAATATTTTTTTATCGCCCACCCCTAATTTTTCAGTGATATGAAGCTGAAGTCGGCTATTCGCCAGCTTCTTGTTCGAATTCTCCCGTTCCACCTTAAATGGTGCAGCAGTTCTGGGCCTGGTAGCCCTAACACTCCACCCTACCCCTCTATCTCAACAAAAATATGGGACACCCTACCGCTAGGCGTGAACGAGAAAAGTGGTAGGGGCAAGAGGTGAAATGAGATTGGGCTTTGGCACACACTAAGACTAATACTAATACATGTGCAATAATAATAGTTTTATTATATTTGCAGATAGAATCCTTTGCCTGCAAACTTGAAATTAATAAATGTTTGATAATCTCTCTCATCAAACATATCCATCTCATGATACATTTGTACTTTTGGATCTGCTCCTACATTACTGTTCAAATAATGTTTATTCAAGGCTGGGGCCATTAGTTTTAGATTTACGCCGATCTGGTTTGTGCATTCATGTTAATTCATACTGCATTAATAGCCCCAGACTGGGTGTCTAGTACCGGCCCATGGGTGATAAAACCCATCAGTGAGCAGGAACAGGCTGAGTGAACATGCAAGCACCCAGGCTACTATATGAGTATACCAGAAACACGTCTCATTTTCTTTTCCATGGCAAGCGGGAGAGCGTCCCCTGCTTCAAACGTCAGCTTGTCCACAGCTAATCTCAGGGACAGACACAATGGCCAAAGCTTGCATCAATCCTGCTGCGACCCTTCAAGAAAACATGCTTAAGGCATTATGACCAGGTCGAGCTATGAAGGGCTCATTCTGCTGTAGGCCAAAAAGCTTGAGATTTATCGCAGCAATGGTTTAGCAACTATGTGATGGAAAATTGGATGCTTCAACATGGACCTGAGCTTTTGGTAGTGCTGGACGCGTTTTTGCGCAATTGTCGACATTCTTCAGTAAATCTATCCAGCAAAGCCTCCTCTGAAGCGCAGAGATGCTGTTCGTACGCCCTCACACAACGAGCCACGACCCAGAGCATTGTGGGATAGGAGAGGGGTCACGGAGTAGGGGATGGGTGAGATGTTTAAAAGTGAGGGAAACCTGGAAAAGGTATCAGCAAAAATCCCAATAAGATCCAGACATGGAAAACAGGGGCACATTAAAAAATAAGCTGTATTTACAAACCAGATTATTTAATCAGTATGCAGTCCCACAGGCGAGCGGGAGCCAAGACGCTAATGCATGGTTGAAACTCCAGATTGCTTTCCTATTTCTCCAGATCCTTTGGATGCTTTCAGTGTCAGGTAGCCACAGCATGTGTGCATTAGCAGACTCTGGTTATAAGGCAACCAAAGGGCTTCATTGACTAGATAATGGTTTTACCATACCAGCTCATGCAGTCGATCACGTATGATATCTCATACGTTCTATCTGTAGCTGGTGACGGATGATGTAGATGACCTACGTAATGAAGTTAAGTGCAGTACGCAGACCGTGAATTAAGGCATTTGATATCATTGCATTCTTCTTAGCAAGCCAGACTAGATTCCACGGGCTGGGATGTGGTGTCTGTCTCCACTGGTCCCGGACCTCTCAGCTAAATCACTGCTGCTGCTGATTTAATGGATCTCACATGAGTGGCTTCCTGCCATGGTGGGGACAAGAGGGTAGCAGGAAAGAGATCTCTCTCCCTCCGTCATGAAGTCTATCAGGTCTGCACTCTTGGTCCACTGAGGCTTACGATGAAGATTTCTTCTATAAAGCTTTCATGCTATGGAAAAGAGAGGCTCAACTATTTTCAGTCATCCCAGGATGAAGCCCTTTCTTTCTTTGTCTGCTTCTTTCTCCCTCTGAGATGCACTTGTTTTGTTCTTGTGCTCTGTTTTCAACCTCTGCGAGACCGAGATCCATCTTTATTTGCAGTACACAGTGAAAAAAAACAGCAGTGTCTGCCATTGTGTTGCATGTTGCTGTCAGTGCTATGATGGAAATGATTAACCGCCCAAGTAGCATCTGGTCAGTGGTCCTGTGGTGTTCCCGTTTAGTGATGGACACGTGAGAGGGTGGCTGAAAAGTTGTGTAGCAATAAAGCAATAAATACAGTCAGTAGTTGTGTTTGCAAACCTACAAAGTGCACCTTAAGTACTGTGCAAAAGTCAGAGACCACCCTCCGTTTATTTAATTTCCAGTAAAGAGGTCCATGAAGCACAAGCTAATCATTTTTCCAGAGATATTTTTCTGAGGAGATTAGATATGAGATAATCCGCTTGGATGTGGAAGGAGAAAGTCAAAGGAAAGAAGAAGGGTTTCCAAAACTGGAGTTCAAAAAATGATTAAACGAGAGAAAATGGGGTTCCTAACAACCATGCAAGACCTGGTAGACCACCAAAACTGACAGTACTTACAGCTTTCATCTTTGAGGGAGAGAGAGAGAGAAAATCAAGGCACACTTTTGCTTCAGACCTGAAAGCCCCAATCCCGTTTCACCCCTTGCCCCTACCAATTAGCCCTTAGCCCTCTGTTTTGCGCGCTCACGTCTACGGGTAGGGTGTTCTGATTCTTGTTGAGATAGAGGGGTAGGGTGAAGTGTTAGGGCTACATGACCCTCCAAACGGAGGTTTTTCAGAGGCACAACTCCAAACAGGGTGTTATGAGAAAAAAGAAAAACCGGCAAGATGGCTGTGTGAGCGACCAAAGAATCCCACAAATGTAAGTATTTTTTTCAGATGTTTTTTAACGATAACCATTATATTATCTTAGTTTAATGTCGTTTCAGTGTATTATGGTCGTTTTCTTCATAAAAAGCATAAAAATTTGCTAAGAGCATGCTAATGTCTCGGCAGCTAGCTAGCTAACTTTCCTGTTCCACCTTAAATAGTCCAGCAGTTCTGACGCCTGAAGTGCCAGAATGTAACTGCTGCACCATTTAAGGTGGAACGGGAAAATTCTAACAATAAGCTGGTGAATAGCTGACTTCAGCTTCGTATCACCAAAGAATTAGTGGTGGGTGATAATAAATAATTGTCTTATAGCCCCTCTTTAAAAGCATATGATGCCCTAAATGTAACTAAAGCCCAGCAGTGAGGTTGCTGAACTTTTCCCTTCTCTGCTGTCACTAAAGATGGGCTGGGTCGCCTACAGAGCACCACCAGTAGCTGTTAATGAAGCAATGTTTTTTTAATTTGAGAGTTGTCCCATTTCATAGGGCAAGATTTCAACCACTACCCCTTGTAACTCAGTTCCAAGGGGTTAGGGTGACACTCAAAAACAAGGGGTAGGGGTAAAAAGAAGAAATAGGATTGGGCCAAAATATCCACAGGTGTTTACTCATGTCAAAGAAGCTGTTGGTGATCTCAGAACAACGGACTGGCCACCCCAATATCTGTGTAATTTTATGTTAAATGTATTTCTTGTGCCTCAAGTCTTCATTTCTTCCACCATCTCCTTGTTCCATGTACACAAACTTTGTCACATCCAAGCCCATGTATCCATTTTGTAAGAAACCGTATCCAAAACACGAAAGTTCTTTTAGCACATAATGACAGAGAACAAGACAGTTTCACCCATGGACTCCTACAAGCGTCTTTACAGTAAGCCATAAGTCTGTACCCACAGCATGGATCATTCTTACCGCATCCTTGTGGTGAGTGCTCAGCTTTGGTGCAGCCCATGCGTGAAGCAGGCCTAAGCCTTGCCGTGTTCTGGTTGCACTGTTCTTGGAAAGTGGACATGTGACCAGAGCTGTCCTGGTCTCTGGAACAGGGTGTACTCAGGACTTCTAATCTCTAGATAGTAGGTCCTGACCAAGCTTTCATCATCATGTCACAATCACCATTCAGCAGCTGTAGTGAGGCTACGAGGCCTTGATCTATCCAAATGCTCAAACTTCATTAAATGGGGTAGAAATGTGTTGTAGAGCTCATTCACAGCACACTAACTAAAGTAATGAACGAAATTGTAACATAAATGGGGTTTTACCATTAGTTTAAGATTAAGCTTAATCCTGGAAATTGACCCCTTATGACATTTATAGAATGACAAAGCTGTAGCGCCACAGTAATGGCTAATTATAACATAGCTGACTGGACGCTGAGGTTGATATTGGAAAATGTCTCTTGTTGTTTCAAAAATGTTGTACAAATACATTTTGAGAGATATTGTCTGTATTATATTTGTTTTACTAATGTGCTGACTAG